AACTATACTTTTAATCATTCATGTTTTACAAGATAATCATAATTTACTTAGTTTGTTTTATAACAGTTCATATTATCATCCCAAATCTATCCTAAAATCATTTTGTAGATATAATAAGAAAGAAGTACATCTTTATATATTTATTATTTTCTAAGAGTCTACATATTTCATTACTGTATTTTATTGTCTAACCATTGATAGATCCCAAATTTTATAAAATTGTTTATCCTCTTGTTCTCTAATTTCAAATGTCAATCTACTCATTTCAGCACATTCCAATATTTTCTTAATGATTTTCTCCTGTGATGGTATTTTCTCATTTTTCCAGTTTTTAGCAAATACAATCCTAGCCACTGTTAATACATTTACAATCAGGTATTTCAAGTCTTTACTATATATTTCAGGTAAAATTCCCAATAAAAATATCTCTGGTTTCAAGTCTATATGTTTTTTTGTCATTTTTTCCAACCACATGTGGATTTTAGTCCAGTATTTTTTAGCATCCGCACAAGTCCACCACATATGATAATATGAGCCGGGTGTCTGATGACATTTCCAACATTTTTCAGATTTATTCTTTAACATTCTTGCTATTCTTGTTGGGGGAAAATGCCACCTGTAAAACATCTTATACAAATTTTCTTTATATGCTGTTGACATTGTCATTTTATAATTTTGAGACCACAATTTTTGCCATTTCTCTAGATCGATCCCATATCCAAAATTCTTCCCCCAAGCAATCATAGTTTCTTTAACTTGTTCTTCTTCTAATTTAATTTCTAATAAATATCCATACAATTTTTTAATCACTGTTTCATCAGTACCTGTCAAAATCTTATCTAAATCAGTCAATTTATCATAGAAACCTTCCATTTTAGAATCTTTATCATACCTTGAATGTATTTGCACATATGAAAACCAATTCATCTTTATACCTTGTTCCTCTAGTTTTTGTACAGATTTGAGTTCACCCTTTTCATTCAATATTTCACCATATCTAACTGTTTGTTCCTTTTTGTATATTATAGGATAAGAAAATGCTTCAATAGTAGATAGCCAGGAATTTTCAAATAACATTGTCTTTTAATCTTCTCCCAGTTTAACCACAGAGACTCCCGTATATAATGTCTTCTAAAATACCCCTGTGTTTTAGTTCCTTTATACCATAAAAAAGCATGCCACCCCAACAACAGATCATGTCCTTCTAATGCCAACAATCTAGTATTTCTTAGTGTTATCCATTCCTTAACCCACATCAGATTTTGTAGCTTGATAGTACAACTCCCAATTAGGCAAACCAAATCCTCTAATTCTAGCATCTTGCAAAAGTTTTAACCTTATTCTTGCTTTCTTACCTTGCCATATATATTTCAACACAATTTTATTTAAATCTTCAAAGTAATCTTTTCCAAGCCTAATTGGAATTGTTTGAAACAAATATAAAATTCTGGGTAATATATTCATCTTGATTGTTGAAATTCTCCCTATTAGTGACAGTTGTAAATTTTCCCATTTCGCCAGATCTAGCGCTATCTGCTGTTTAAGTTTGATATAATTATTCTCTTTTAGTGTACTACATCTTGCTGTCAAATATATCCCCAAGTACTTGATCTTATTCGTGACCTGAATTTTCAATAGGTCTGCCAGTTCTTCCTTTTGTCTTAATAGCATATTCTCTGTCAAGATCTTTGTCTTATCTTTATTTATTTTCAAACCAGCCACCTTTCCATATGTCTCTATCTTTTCTATCAATTTTGGTGCTGTTTCTAGAGGGTCTTCTAAGATGAAAACCAGATCATCTGCAAATGCTTGAAGCTTAAATTCTTCCTTTTTTGATTTTCATTCCTTTTATATTCTTTTCATCTCTAATATTTCTGTTTAGCACTTCCAAAGTTAACACAAACAGTCTCAATAATCAAATAAACCCATTGACATCTTGTAATTCTGGGGCTTGTTCATTGTGTAGCTGGGCCAGCCAGTCAGATGCATCCCCCTCATTCATCCCATCTGTAATGGCAGTAACCAAATTGCGCTCTGTTGCGCATTGGTCTCCAAACTGGTGTATGTGGGACCAAATTCGAGTGAGGAAGTAATTAAAATGTTCATGGTGCCATCAAAAAGGCCTTTGAACTGGATTTGATCTAGTCTGGGTTGGGGAGGTGGTATGGGCCTGGCACCTGCATTATGGAAGACTGTGTCACTTCCATAGTATTACCCAGAAACTATGTGGATATTCCAATGTAGTTTAGATATTTTCCAACAAGTTGATTGCTGATTTGATATACCAATCCTCAGGAGCAGCTTTCGAACACATGCTAAGTCAACCCCTGTCATTAGGCAGACACCTCGGATGTTTTTATGGGGTGGGGGAGAGATAGCATCCCCACCTGTCTCCTGCACCTCCTGATACATTTCTTCCATTGTATTACTCTTTATGTTCTTCCCCAGAGCTAGCCTCCCATGATCAGATGTGATTAGGAAATTAGCCTGTTCCACAGACATAACATTCAGCTCTTAAACCCAGTCAATTTTTGGAATAGAGCCATTTTGTTACTTCAGGCAATATGTTTTAGGCATTTTGACAATGTTGGTTGCAAATAAAGGAAATCTGGTGTATCTGAAGGACCAGAATAGAGAGGTATCTTGGAAACTTTTGTATATAAAATATTTCTACTGCAAACCACAGCAGCTAAAATGCTTCAAATTACAAGGACCAACTTGGGGGAGAAAATCAAGGTAGTTTTTTTTAGCCTACACTTAATATCATAAATATTTGCAACATGTTATTATACAGGGTGACAGTGAACAACAGTTTATGTGCATGACTTTTTGAGGCCTCCTGAAAATGCTGCCATACTGGAAAAAGTGTTAAAAGAGGAAACTGGAAAATAACTAAAGGTCACAGGAATATTAAGAAGCACGATTACGCTATTGCAAGCTAAGCTGTTTATGTTAAGAAGGATCTTTGAAGAATTTAATGCACAATTTTCTCCATAGGTGCAGAAAATATTTTCTAGCCACTTTACTTCTAAGTATTGAATCATTTTACAGCCAGGAGCTATGACATAGTGGATCACTGATAAAATTGCTGCTTGAAAGAAATATTTTTAAAAAATGACATGAAACATGAGGAGGGAGAGGGAGGGTTAGTTGTTTATGAATTAGATAATTATGGATAGAATTGTAGAATACTCCACAGTGGGACAATAAATGTGCAGGCATAAATATTGCGATATATAATGTTTGCCATTTCCCCCATCAAGATCCCTGGTTACTCCATCAATCTCATCAGATGTGGCAGAACAGGCCTGCCACAGGTGCCCCTACCATGATGTCTGCCCTTTGGTATATCATTCCCCAGAACAGTTTGGCCTCAGCCCTTCTGATCTTTAGAAAAGGCCTGAAGATATGGTTGAGCCACTGCATTTGACAGTCCAGTTGGAGGGAGCCTCTTCAATGGTTATACTAAACTGGATGTATTGATTGTATTCTGATCATGATTATGCTTTTGTGCTTGAGGTTTTTAACAGTGGTTTTGGTATAGTTGTATGTTAGCTATTTTTACTTTTTAAATCTTCTTGCTGATTTTTTTATTTCTGTGAGCCACTGTAATATCCCATTTCAAAGACAGGTGCTGCATTTTCAAAAGGCAGAAACCAGTCTAACTTAACGTTCTTGGGTTTTTAATGCTAAAATTAATATTTGTCAGGCATATATATTTGAACATGTCTTCTTTAGTACAGAATTATTCACTGGAATAAAGAATTATTTTAATATGAGCATGCACACATAGAGAGAGCAGGAATGGATAAGACAGTGTGAATCCCAAATCTAGATCAGAACAGAATAATTTATTCAAAGGGAATTGCAGCAATTCCAATTTGTCCACAAAGCAAACAAACAAAAAACTACCTCTCCCCCAAATAGTTCACAGAAAAAAGGATGGAGAAATCACTGAATTTAGTGAGTATATTTTCTGACTCTTTCAGTCTTTAATTGTATTTTGAAAGACATTGTTCTTTGACACCATCCTATTCTTTCATTGTGCAGCAAACACTCTCCCAACACATTAATCTATCTGCCTGAAATTTGATAGATATTTTTCGCTACAAGATTTCTTTTTGCTGCAAATTTCATTATGGTCTGTCTTAAAACAAATGTTATGGAAACTTGTGTTTTTTTTTTTTTTTATTAAATGACTATTATTTAAAACCCATTCACCAGTCTTTATGATGTTTGGCTTCCTCCATTTCTTTGTGGTGTCCTACAGTTCCTGAAATTTTTATCCAATTCTAGTAAAAAATAAAACTATTATTGGAGGGTTCAGATTGGCTACAATTCAGTTTGGAATGTTGTTTCAATTTGGACAGAGATCAGAGTTTAAAAACAAAAAAAAATAAAATAAATCGTACATTGATGTTTGAAACATCAATCAAACTAGGGCAGCAATGAATAAAAATGACTAGTCATGGCACACTTTATTTGGGATGTGTTCTGAATGTGCTACAAAACAAGAATGTTATGATTTGGTTTGAGTGTTTGTTTACATATTGACTTACTACACAGTTCTGACTTTGATGATATTTACATTATGTTAAATGACAAAATCACACTGCCCAACCACTTGGAATAAAGCACATAAATTAAAAATGACCTTTATTCAAACAAGGATGAAAAAAATTACAAAACTAATTGAAAGAGTAATATACACATAGACACCTAAAAGCCAAAATGAACAAACTCAGTTCTGTGGCAAACTTCTCCCCTTTTGGTTCCCCACAATGCAAAAGCAAATAAATAAATTACTGAGCTTGCAGTGAGATGTTACTTTCATAATTTGTCCTCCCTTGAGCCTAGCCCTTGATGCTTATGTTCATAAATATCCATTTTGCTTGTTGAAAAAAAATAGTAATCAATCAATTAGGCAAATGAAACACAGAATGGAAATTAAACAAATCTTCAGGGACTTCAATTATCCTCTAATGTAATAGGTAGTCTGAACAAACAGTTTTCATTTATAAATTTTGATAGTAACGGTGACGGTTTTGAAAACCTCTGTATGCATACTTTGCATCCAATTTGCTGTGAGGCACTCTGTCAAATGGTTCATGATCATTGAAGCAAGATTCAAAGACTTCATCTACTGCTTTCTCTGCCATTTCTTTAGTGATATTTCTAACAGCCAACATGGAGCGAACAGCTTTCATCTTTACACAAGTCTGAAACAGGTGATAAAAAAGGCTGAGGTACATCTAATGTACTGAAGCTTTCATTAAACAAACAATTAGGTTTATATAATATTAGATAATATAACAATTACCTAAATAAATTGATAATAATTATAAGTTCTATGGATATCTACCAATGTATTGCGATCTAACTCAAAAATCTTTTTTTAATTTTCCACATTAAATGTATCACTTGGAAGATAACATAGTGTACAATTCAACAGTTAATAACAAATAATTCATGAGGCTACTTTATCAGCTGTGCCATTTTTAAAAAATCATAAGCATCTGTAATGCTTTTGCAGTAATTTTAGATCAATGAATAAATTCAGACTTTATATCTAGGACTTCCATTACTTGAAATACACATATCTAGATTATATGATTTCAAGAATAACAGCAATTTTCAAAAGAATAGCCAGAAATAATTTAATATATTTATTACTTCATAAATGTTGTAGGGCACTCAAGGCCTATATAAAGTAGTCCTGAACTACAAATAGCAATAAACAATTACTTAATGCAAGTCCAGATAAACAAGTAATCTTCGTGTCTATGGAGATTCTCAGTCATACAGGTCATGATTGTCCCGAAGGTGCTTTTTCAAGTGGGTAACTAGACTTTCTGGCTTTTCTTTGAAGATGTTTCGCTTCTCATCCAAGAAGCTTCAGAGCTGAAGAAGCTTTTTGGATGAGTAGTGAAACATCTTCAAAGAAAAACCGGAAAGTCCAGTTGCCACTTGAAAAAGCACCTTTGGGGCAAGCAATCTTATTCTTTCTAACTATAAAAATAATGTTCCATATTTGGAATGTACATATCAACACGGAGAAATATAATCCAAGATTGGCTAAATTATGAAAGAATTGATCTGGCCAATAAACAGTAGGTTTCTCATCTTTAATCCCTCTTTTTTAAAATGAAGGATGCCTGAAAAGTATTGCTTTCACTTTTGTAATTTTAATTTAAATAAGAATATTTTAATAAATAAAAACAAAAATTATTGAAATCTATCTTTTAACCATATTACTATATTTACATTTCCACATAATCACCACCATTCACTGCATCACTCTCTTGATGGACATTTTTAAATGCTTTCACAAAAGTGCTTCACATTCTGTCTCTTCCACCAGGCCTTGATAATCCTTTCGACTTCTACCTTTGTCATTTCAAAAACAAAAAAACCAATTAAGCAGGATATGGAAGCATAAGAAGGTACTTCTGACAATGAGACAATGCTAGGCTTCACATCACAAAGTCACCCAAGACACAATTGTGAAGGTGGATTCACTATTTTATCCCATCTGTGAGGAGCTGATGGAAGACCAAAATGTGAAGTTCTTTCATTCTTGAAGAAGCTTGTCCATCACTGAGAATGTGATTCTATGGGGAAATAAATTCAGGTAACAAAACAGCTTATTTTCAGAATTATTTTTCTGTTCCATCTATTTCAACCTCCATATTTCAGCTAAAATTATGGAAATGGAGGCATTATTTTTAATTCTCTCTCTCTCTCTCTGTCCCTCCCTCCCTCTCCCCCCCTCCACACACACACACACACACACACATCCCTACATGTACATACATACACACACACATAGCATAATTAGTAAGAAAAAACCTGGTCTTATCTTTTTCATGTCTATTGACACTACATTCCTACGTAAGAAATTGTTGAAGAAGAAACTACCTCAAATGAAGACATGAACCCAAACCTCTTCTTTTACAGATTATTATTAACTTACCTGCTGATGCTGCTTCAGCCCAAACCTAAACCTCATCATCTCATTTATGAGAGAACAATCTCCACTGAGATTAGATGCCCGAATCTATAAAAGATGCACAAATTGAGTAGAATATTTACAGGAAAGTTAGCATAGTATCCCATTTTAAAGCTTTTTTTTGAATGTCTGAAAAACTGTCCTTCATTTCCAATTTGTTGTATAATTGCTAAAAAGAGCTTCAACAATCAAATGGTTAAGAATAAGTGAATTCTCTTGGTTGTTCATATAGCTATTCTCCAGGGATGCTATTAAAACATAACTGCTGAAAGATTATCACCTTGATATCCTTTTATATATGACCTTACTTATTCAACTAGGGCAGCAGTTTTCAACTTCCGCAACTTGAAGATCTGTGGACTTCAATGCCCAGAATTCCCCAGTTGAGGAATACTGAGCTTAGGTAGTAGCTACATCTCAAATTACAGAAGAAACTACCTCAAATAAGACATGAACCTTAGATGAACTTGGCTGATTGCAGAAAACTAAAAAAGAGATGATTTCATTTATTTTTCATGTTATTAATTATTCATGATTTTATTAATACTTGGTTAGGATGGTTGGGATACACCAGGAAAACTCCAAGGCTGTAGGCTAGACAAAAAGTTTTTATAAGAAGCACCCCAAAACTGTACTAAACTGTTCCCATACTGCTGCCAATAAACTAGATGAACATATCCATGGGCACTATAGGGTTGATATTCTGATTCAGCAATGACTTTATTTTCTGGCTGTCAAAATCCTGGCCTGTGGGCTGGATGCGTTACATGCTGGCCACGCCCATGCATGGTTTAGCAAAGGGGAAGAAAGTCCCGATATATCATGTGATGCCACCATGATGATGTGAGTTTGACACCCCTGCTCTAAGTAATACTAACCAAACTAGCTTAAATAGCACCTTCTAAGATCTGATGCAGATCTATCAGTCAGTAAACTTCTGATTATCTCAGTAGGTGGCAGTATCTACAGAATGTAACAGATAATCAGAGTTGGAAGGGACCTTGTAGATCATCTAGTCCAACCCCCCCACCCAAGTGGGAGACCCTACAACATTTCTGACAAATGGCAGTCCAATCTCTTCTTGAAAGTCTCAAGTGATGGCGCTCCCACAACTTCTGTGGGCAAGCTGTTCCATTGGTTGATTGTTCTCACTGTCAGAAAATTTCTCCTTATTTCCAGATTAAATCTCTCCTTGTTCAGTTTCCATCCATTATTCCTTGTCTGGCCTACAGGTGCTTTAGAAAATAGCTTGACCCCTTCCTCTCTGTGGCAGCCCCTCAAATATTGGAAGACCACTATCATGTCTCCCCTGGTCCTTCTCTTTACTAGACTAGCCAAGCCCAGTTCCTGTAACCATTCTTCGTATGTTTTAGTCTCCAGTCCCCTAATCATCCTGGTTGCTCTTCTCTGTACTTTTTCTAGAGTCTCAACATCGTTTTTATAATGTGGTGAACAAAACTGGATGCAGTACTCTAGGTCTTACTAAGGCTTTATAGAGTGGTATTAGTACCTCCCTTGATCTTGATTGTATCTCTGTTAATACAACTTAGGATTGCATTAGCTTTTTTGGCGGCTGCTGCACACTGCTGGCTTATATTTAGCTGGTTGTCCACTAAGAGTCCAAGATCCCTCTCAGTTACTGCTATTGAGCCTGGTTTCACCCAGTCTATATGTGTACTTTTGATTTTTTTTGCCTAAGTGTAGGACTTTACTTTTCTCTACACTGAATTTCATTTTGTTAGATATGGCCCAGTGTTCTAGTCTGTCAAGATCCATCTAGATCTTGAGCCTATCTTCTTTGGTGTTAGCTATTCCTGCCAGCTTAGTATCATCTGCAAATTTGGTAAATTCCCCTTCTATTCCCTCATCTAAGTTGTTACTGAAGATATTGAAGAGCACTGGGCCTAAGATGGAACCTTGTGGCACCCCACTGGTTACTTCCCTCCATGTAGACTTAAGACTTCTGATGGCGGACCTAAATCTAAATATATTATGTCCACAGTATTTTGCTGGTCTACTAATTTAGTCACTATGTTGAAGAATGAAATAAGATCGGTTTGGCATGATCTGTTCTTAACAAACCCGTGCTGACTGCTAGTTATTACTTTACTTGTTTCTACCATGTTTCTCATATAATAAGGCCGGGTCTAATTTTTTTTTTGACCCCCGAAAAAACGGCTAGGATGTCTTTTCGGGGGTGAATTAATTTCTCCCCCCGCTGCACATCCTCGCCTAGAGCGCCCTGCGGGCAGCCACACCTCACCACCAGTCACTCCTAACAGCCGATCATGGCGGAGCGCGGAGGGCTCCTTACCCCCGCCAAGTGCCTATGCTGAAGACCCGGGTCAGCAGGAGGGCGGCGGGAGCGTGGATGTCCTCCGGCAGTGTTTCAGCTGCTTCTTGGCCCTCCATAGCTTCCACGCTTCCCGCCGGTGCTGGCACCTCTATTGCCAGCGCCGTCTCCAACAACAGTGTCTGAGTTGCTCCCGCTTTTCCCCCCGTCCCCATCACCGCAACAGGGGAAAAAATTTTTTTGAGGTACCTGGGAGCGCCACGCAGTGCGTTTTCGTTTAATCCCAAGTGGCTGGTTGGGTGTGAGAAGAGCTGGGTGAGCGTCTCTACCACTGCTACCTTTGGTGCTCCAGCCTCGGGCTCTGCAAGTTTCCAAAAGTCCCGATGCGCAGCCTGTTGCTGCATTCCAAGTGCGCCCAGGCCGAGCTGCAGCTGTCTCTCGCCAGTGGCATCTCCAACAACAGCGGCAGCAGCGGTGGGAACTGTGAAAGTTACGGAGGCGACTCCCCCATCTGAGAAGTGGCTGAAACACTTCCACGGTTCCCGCCGCTGCTGCTGTTGTTGGAGACGGCGCTGGAGAGAGAGGAAAATCTCCATGGGCACACAGACAACAACCATGTCTCACTTGTGGGTACAGACTGAGATATCAACAGTTTGTGAATGTTGACGCCTATCTACAAAACAGACTGATATTCACAACAGGAATCAAGCAAAGAAACATAAAATATGATAGAAGGATCACTTAATTCTACTAATTCGTTTAGAAGTACGTTTCACTTAAACCATCAGGACTTACTTCCTGAGTAAATAAGCATAAAACTTTACTGTAGGTGAAACGGTATTGATATGAAGTTTATTTCACATGTGTTTCTGATATCCTTATTAAAATATATTTATAAAATTAAGTTTTTCAACTTACCTCTGAACAGGCTAAGTGCCTTATATTGTTAAACCAATCCACATGAGCACGGCAGTGATCAAATGCATGAATAAGTTCATGTGCAACCACTCTGTTCATTTGAGATTGATTATGTATATTGTTTTGGCAAAGTACAATCTGCAAACGAAGTTAACCCAAAATTTTAAGAATACATTTTATTTTAGAACTTTCATAGCATAATGTGCTTCCCTGTTCTATACATAGCATTGTTCAATCATTCATTAGATGTAGTGCCAGAGAACTTGAAGGTACTATTTATCCGGTTTCTCCCTCTCTTTCCTTTTGGGCATGAAGAACCTCCCAGAGACTAAACATACATATTAAAATATAAAGTCAAACTAAAAACCAGCTGATATCATTACAATATGCCTGGAGGAGATGACCAGGTTGACTGATGTATCATCAGTCATGAGTGCCCACAAGAGATCTAAGTCCAGCCCACCATGAATTCTGTTTTTTTACTGCCAAATAGCTTTGAGTACTAGTGAAGGATAGTTGCTTTGACATTGAGCTCTGGGGCTGTTCCTAATTTATTTGATTTCCTGCTATAGTTATATAGAAATAGCACCATCAATTTTAATATAATGAAGCTAGCTTACAAAAAATTAGGAAAAATATATATATATATATTAAGTATTTTAAGCCAATAGGAAAAAAATCAGAGGGTTTAATAGCAATATTTATAAAATATTAAGTTGAGATTGACAAAAATTCTAATAAATTCTACTATTTAATACTGACTACATAACTCAACTACCGTATATACTCGAGTATAAGTCGACCCGAATATAAGCCGAGGCACCTAATTTTACACAAAAAACTGGGAAAACTTATTGACTCGAGTATAAGCCAAGGGTGGAAAATGCAGCAGCTACTGGTAAATTTCAAAAATAAAAATAATTAATTTGGGAAACGATCTCACTATCATGAAAGGTTTAATTGATTCACTAACCCAAAAGAAGAAGATGATGATGACAGCGGGAGGCAGGAGTCACTCTCTTCCCCTCCCTCGGAGGCCCCCTGAGTCAGGAGTCACTACCGCCGGCGCGGCCCCAGTCCCGCCGCCTCGGGAAGGGAAAGGCAAAGCGCTTTTTGCCTTTCCCTTCCCGGCTGGGGCTGTTGGGAGTCGCTGCCGCTGGAGGCCGCGACTCCACACCATTATTTTTTTCAGAGGGGAATCTGACTCGAGTATAAGCCGAGGGGGATTTTTTCAGCACAAAAATTGGGCTGAAAAACTAGGCTTATACTCGAGTATATACAGTATTTTGTTTTACTAACATAAAGGTAAAGGTTCCCCTCGCACATACATGCTAGTCGTTTCCGGTTCTAGGGGATGGTGCTCATCTCTGTAACAAAGCCGAAGAGCCAGTGCTGTCCTAAGACTGTTTCTGTGGTCATGTGGCCAGTATGACTAAATGCTGAAGGCACACGGAAGGCTGTTACCTTCCCACCAAAGTGGTCCCTATTTTTCTACTTGCATTTTTACATGCTTTCGAATGCTAGGTTGGCAGAAGCTGGGACAACTAACAGGAGCTCACTCCGTTACACGGTGCTAGGGATTCGAACAGCTGAACTGCCGACCTTTCTGATTGACAAGCTCAGCGTTTTAGCACTGAGCCACCATGTCTAACATAGCAGAGAATAAAAACTGTTGATATTAGGAGCAGAAAAAAGTAGTACCTTACCTGTGATACTGAAGAATCAAATCCTCCACCAACATGTTTATCACAATTTTCACATGAAATGTGTCGGTTATTGGTCACAGCACTAAAACAATTGAAAAGTCACACATATAACAAATATAATACAGAGCATCATATAATAAACTTTGGACATAAATTATCTCACCAGCCAGAATTCTTCATAGCTTCAAGTAGCAGTTTAGCTTGTGGACCTAGAATAAACATCGGCATAATAACTCATTTCTAAAAAAATGTGTTGTTCAGAGAAAAAAAAAGCAGAACTCTTTAAATTACCACAGAAAGCGTTTAGAACATCTTAAACTTATGAAACATCATACATCCAGAAATGATTTATAGATATCATAATCAAAACACAAAGATGAACTTCATCGACTGCAAGCGATACTACTGGCAAAATCTTAAATGTTTACTTAGATATCAAATCTAATTAATTAAAGGGAATTTAATAATGTTCAAGTGTACATATAACTTCCACAGCCAAGGAGCATTAGAACTAATCTGAGTGAAATTGCAAATGAATATTCTACTTCAATAAAATATTTGAAAAATATTTTGATGTAGGACACCAAGGTAGATGGCCCAACACCTAGATGCTACAATAAAACCATGATACCAGAGCATAGGAAAGCAACATGTCCCAAAGGTACTCTTTCAAAAGGCAACTGGATTTTCTTGGTTTTTTTCCTTTGAACAAGTTTCGCTTTTCGTCCAAGAAGCTTCTTCAGACTGAAGAAAGTCCATGTGCCTTTTGAAAAGGTACCTTTGGCACAACTATGAGAATCTCCATCATCAAGGAAATAAATAGAGTATTTTGTTTTTGCTGAACAGTATCAACTTATCTTGATTATTAGACTGGAGTGTAGAAATAGAGCACTTTGTTTTTCCATAACTCACTGAAACTTCACTCCTGCGTTCAGATAAAGAAGTACTGTACTCTATATGGAAGCTGACTTGCAACAAATTAAGTGTTAATCTAATTTAAAATTGTCTTAAATATTGTCACGTTCTTCCAGATTTCAACTAGAAGTCTTTCTCAGCTGTATTCAGATACTATGAACTCAACTGAGCACCTTTACACTCTATAAAAGTGCTCATTTATTGTTTCACTTAGTGACCCCTCAAAGTTATCATGTGTTGACCGCCACTCCACCGCCTTGGGAAAAAGGAGTTTAGCCAGGTGAGGAGGGGGTTTGCGATACCCCCAAGCTCCTACCCGGATCTCCTCTGTCTTCGGTTGCCTCTACGGGGCAACCATATCCTCCAAATCCAGCTGGATCGGAGGCACTTCGGCGGTGAGCGCAGCAGGAACCGTGCACGATTGCGGATTCCTGCCGCCGCCGAAGCCTTGCAAACCGGAAGTTTGCAAAATCAGAAATTTTCCCAGACTTGTAGGGGTATGCTATATTTTCCATTCATCAGTAGGTGGCGGCTTCAGCTTAGGTTTCAGCATTGTCTCAAATCTGACAGATATTTAATCCAATTTTAATCCAATTTATGGAAGCAAAGTCGGTTATTTAAGTAGATAGTTTTAGCATTTTAAAATGCCTCTCCAAAACAGCACCTACCCAGTTTAAAAGTTTAATATTCTTTGTTTTAAAAGTTTTTTTACTTTTCTCCCCTTAGTTCCTTTCTTTTGGGTCTGGGATTTTTCTCTAACTAATTTGCAGCTTTAACAAATAGTTCTAAGAGTCTCTTTTCCTGGATTTTGTTTGTTTGTTTGCTTTAGGGTTAGATTTTAGGTTAAAAAGGAATCATCTCACTCAGTTCCAGTCACTGTTCATCTACACCGCTCCTGCACTTTCTTTATTGCCTTGGCTGTCCCAGCTTCATGGCTGCCTCTTCTCCTCATCGTGGATGAGAGGGAAGAAAGCCCTGGGGCAAGCGGAAGACTTGCATCTCTCCATGAACTGCAGCGTGCCCCTCTTTTCTTCACCACCCTACAGGGTGGCTTTAGCTCCTGTCAGGGAGAACTCGACACAGGAGCACGGAGACCCGCTCCCTTGTGTCCGATCTCGGCACGACATCAGCCGGATGTCTTGGGACAAACGCCTTTTGATAAGCTACTGTTGAATGCTGATGAAAAACTAATTAAGAAGGAGTGTAACTTTTTGTTAAATTTAAAAATGCAGGATGAACAAATAAAAGACACAATGGTACAATGGGGAAAAACTTTGGTTATAACATTGAACTAGGAGGCAAAACTTATGGAAAAGCAATTATAGATTAATAATGGTAACTTCTTATAAAGAAAATCTATACAAAATGTTTTATAGATGGCGTTTACCACTTGCTAGGTTAGCTAAAATTTTAAAAAATGTCTAGCAAATGTTGGAAATGCAATCAAAAGATGGGCACATTTTATCATATGTAGTGGATTTGTGCTAAAAAAAATTGGGCAAAGATAATTGGGCTAGAAAAGTTGTTAGGGAATCATGTAGATTTTAAATCCGAACTGTTTTTATTAGGTATAATATCAGAAAAATTAGATAAGGAAAGTATGTATTTATTATTACAAGTTGTAACAGTAGCGAGGATTATATTAGCACAATATTGGAAAAATTAAGAAACACTGCAAGATGAAGAGATAATTAAGAAGATACTATACTGTACAGAAATGGATAGATTGGCATTGAAAATTAAGCAGAAAGAAGACACAGAATACTATCAAACATGGCATTTATTTTACCAGTGGTTGGAAAAAAGGGGTGGAGGTTAAGAATATAATCAGAATTGTTAAGCAAATTAAATACCCAGATAATAAAATGTTTATTAAGCACTAGGAAATGTAATTAACAAAACAATCAATAAAATTGGGGGGGGGAGCTATCATGATGTAAAACAAATAGTTTTGCAACACATCTTTGCATTCGTGACTATTGCAGTGTCCCACAGTCATGTGGTCACCATGCAACAAGCAGAATTTACAGAGAAGGAAGAAGTAAAATCATACATTGCAGGCACATTTTATTTAATGAGCCCAGCAATTCAGTTAATGCAGGGGTCCCCAACCACCGGTCCGCGGACCGGTACCGGTCCGCGGAACAAGTCCTACCAGGCCGCTGGTTGCTGGGCGCCGCCATCTTTTTTTGATGAAAAAGTGCTTCCGGTGAGCTTTTCCGGGTAGAAAGCCATTTCTACCCGGAAAAGCTCACCGGAAGCGCTGGCGCCGCTATCTTTTTTGATGAAAAAGTGCTTCCGGTGAGGTCACCGGAAGCACTTTTTCATCAAAAAAAGATGGGGGCACCCAGCTGATGCCGGTACCGGGCCGCGGCGCCCAGCTGATGCCGGTACCGGGCCGCGGCATAAAAAAGGTTGGGGATCACTGAGTTAATGAATGAAAGAGAAGTGAAGATGTTCATCATGGTCATGTGATTCTCCACTTAGTGACCATGACTCTTAGTGACTGAATTGCAGATCCCAACTGTGGTTACTAATCAAAATTATTGTATAAGCCTTTTTTTCCCAAGACAAAGATGTTTTATCAATTATTTGTGGAAAAAATAGTTGTTGTCAGGAATTACTAGGCCCAGGATTAGGAAGTTTATGTGTATCGCTTATGTAGTGGATCAGAAAATAAGGCGTTATTTGATTTTTCATCCTAATTTTTCTTCCTTATGTCTATTTAGAAGGAATGGTCAAGTTGTGGGAAATGGCAAGGTTGGAACACGGTTGGATCATGTGTACTCAGCAGTGGAGAGCCAATGATGTTTACTTATACTACGATGAAAAATAGGCACAGATAACAGCTACACTAAATGCTGCCATCAAAAAAGTGAATGGGACAGGCAGAATGGTAGGCAAGAAAAATATTTCAAATTACATTTTTATATAGAAGTTAAAAATTCCATTGGTAAATCACATTCAATCCATATAAATGACATCTGGACAAAAATTGTGTTTTTTTACATAGCAGTGTCATGAATCAGCTTTATAAATACATTTGTTACAGATAAGTTCAATACAGTGACTGAAAAAGAATACCTGCTGGAAAAAGAGAAAATGTAATATAGTCTCCAATATGCGTCAGCATGATTTCTACTTGAAGAAAAAATAAATGTTATCCATTTTGAGGAGAAATGGTATGTTTGAGGTTTCTATTCCTTCCAAGTGTCCAGCTAGATGACAACATCAACACCCTCGACTAATGTGAGATATTTATTTTAAATGATTAAAATAAATAAGTTAATAATAGTGTATCTAGAAAAATAAGACCAGCAGAATGTTCCAGAACTGTAATTAAATTGAAAAGGAAGAAGAAAAAAAGATGAAGCCATGGAGAAGGAATTGAACTTTGACTGAAATGAGTCTTCCCTTGCTATGGAAGAGTACAGAGTTTGATTCAGATGACATTTGATATATCAGCAAAATTAGTCTCCAACTTTATTAAAATAAATACTCAAATGATATTTTATTTTTGCTCTTTCCTAGGCCAAATCTCCTCTGCATTAACCATGGCCACAGGAGTGGACCAAGTATTCTCTTTGTATTTAGTTGGTAGGTTTAATTTTAACCTTAAAGTCACTTTGGGAAGATTTACAATCTGGAAATATGAAATACAAGTATTATACAATTATAATAAATAATACCACGTACTACAATTGTGCATTAAGTTCTCAACTTCCATTTTGGAACTCTGCAGATCTCATGGTTGAAATACATGCTCTAAAATTTTGGATCTTTCCACCTTTTCCCGTTTTTTTCGTCCCTGTTTTACCTTTTGAAGAATTCTGTCAAATGGGAGTGTGTGTGTATACATATTTTTGTAACTAAACAGATATAGTTTCATGGCATTTTGGTCGGTCATTATGCTAGTTACTTAAGATGGGGCAATACGTTTTCAAGGTCAGAATTACAACTTACCAGGCAGTAAACTTCCAGGAAATATGTTAAGGATCATGTATTTGAGGAGAGTGCAGACTAAATACCTAGAGCTATTTCTCTGACACAGAAGATGGTACATCATCCTTCCTCACTAGAAAAACACATTCTCACGACCAGGGAGCCGAGGGGGGACTTACTGTCTAGAGCAACCTTCAGCATCGACTGGCACCTATACTGGGAACCAAACAAGGTGGATATTATTTTTCCCTTCAACGCGGGCTTCTTCCCCTGGCCAAGAGTTCGCTCGGGAAACCGACGGTAGCCAAAGTCCTCATCCTCCTCTTCGCCAGAGCCGCGACTCTCCGGTTGCGAAGACTGCTCAGATGCCATCGTTCATACAAGCGCGTGCGAAAGTGCAAACGGAGATCTCTACTCATTTGGCCTCCCCGGCCACCGTACTCGTCGCTCGAACCCAGACAAAGGCCATCTTCCGTTGAAACTATACAGGTTCGCCACTCGTGCTTCCTGCTGCCTCTGGGACAATTCATAGTAGGTAAGCTAAAGTGAGATGGGGTCCATAGAGCTCTTCCTTTACGCCTCTTTTCCAAAACATGTATACACAAATAAATTATAACTCTCTTTCTGCCTCAGCAACTGTATCTATGAAGCGGAGTAACGGAAGCGCAGCAGTCATGCGCATTTCCTGTAGGAAGAAGTAAATCACACGATGCTCATGCACCAGAACGCGCATGCGGAGTGGTGGGCGATGGGAGCTGTCGACGCTCTTTCTCATTCTCTCTTTCTACCAGCCTTTTCCGCTAGAGCAGCTACCACGGAGACGCACCTCCCTTCGCTTGGCGCGCTGGCTGTCGTGGAAAAGAAAAGCGAGACGGGCTTCGGAGCAGCAAAAGAGAGAGGAGTGTACAGTCGCAGAGGTTGGCAGGGCTGGGGGGGGGGCAAAGAAAGCGCATTGAGATTGGGCTAATGGCTTGTTTCTTGGATGCTTATGAAAAACCGGAAATATGAGCCTTGTTTGCCTTTTTGGCCCAGTCGGAGAAGTTGACGTTCTCCCTTCTTTTTGGAGGGGGATGTTCAGCATTCACAGGACGCACTCAGGACGATCCTTTTGCACTGTGGGAATATTGTAATGCATCAGGGTTGCTTTCCCGCCTCGCCCCCCTCCCGCGTCCCTTCTTGCCCACCATACACAGACCTTCTCTCTTTTAATCTGCCCTTTAAAAAAGGAAAGTCCCGCCAATGTGATGGGCTTTTATGAGGCTACAGAATGAATATATACAGAAAGAAGGCATGCTTATATCACTTGTATATAAAAATAAGTTACACCCATGATTTGTTCTAATAATTTCCCATTTTAGTGAAAAATTAAAAGGTGGATTAGTTATTCCATATCAGTTTTAAAAAAGTGCAAGGGTGCTCGCACAAGCAGAATTCATGCTTCTGGTTTGATTCCCCTCTGGGTGGCTGATTTAGTTTCAGGTGAACTGGAAACCTGCTTAGCTGTGGTAGGTCAGAGGAACTTTGCAGAACTTTGACGGCCCAGCTGGTTGGCAGAACATCACTTTTTAGTACCTTCTTCATAAGATGCTAAGATTTAATTTATCCAAAGGGAAAATGTCCTTCAAAGAGGTTTTGAACCTGAATGATTTCAATTTGCTTGTGTTATTTTTACACCTAAAGTAGTATTGTAATAATCACTGGTAAGCTGATTTTTCCACTGTAAGTACATGTAATTTAAATAATACTATGCCAAAAATATGTTTATTTTTCTTTTTTTTAAGCTAAAATTTGTTTGTATTCTTACAGCCCTATCTGTTTTCCAGTGCATTCTTTCATCAGATGAATTCACCAAATAAAGCAATTGAGTTGCAGTTGCAAATACGACAAAATGCTGAGGAACTTCAAGATTTTGTGAAAGATTTGGAATCATGGGAGAAGGATATTAAAGAAAAAGATCATGATTTAAGGCATCAGAGTGGCACTGCCGAAAAAGTAAGACTGGTGTTTTGATAATGGGATGAATAAAGACACCTTGAAATACAGCCTGTTGACTAGATAATCTAATTACAAATAGAATTACAAATAAATCACCTATAAATCACTCAGGTTAACCTGGGGTTCAATTATATTGCTTCTGTGCCAGAGACCTGGGGTAATGGACAGACGGACTTTCTTGAAATAGATGTAGAGACAAACATTTGAATTTAAAATATTCCATTCCAGCCTCCCAAGTATTGTTTGATTTTCTTCATTACAGAAACAGTGAAGAAGAATTGTAGTAATTTCTAAAGCGTTTTAAAAGGAATAGATTTTTATTTTATGGTTTTTCTACTTAGATCTTGTCTTTACATTTATTTCAATCTGTCACTGTTAAAACCATGTGAGAAGCAAAACCTTTTCTGTTAGGACAGATTGTCAGTGTTCAACTCAAGGAAGTGGAATTGCCCTTGTTGGAAGACATATCCAGATCCAGTTCCAATCCAGGAATAAAAGGGAGGTTGATTGGAAAGAAAATGAAGCAGAACCACCAAGCGCATGTGATTCTGGGGTCATATAGGGGTCATGGCTGATTCTATAGGCAAAAGGGGAAATGCAAATCTGTTCTGTCCTAGGCCTCCCCAAAAAGCACTAAGTCAATTCTGAGTACCTGCATAAACCTCTTATTACATTAATGTGAATTTATTTCATTAACAGTCAGCCAACAGCTTTGCAAGACTGCAAAGGTATATTAATTAGCTCAGACCTTTATCAATCCTGGAACACTGCCTGGTAATTTATTTATTTATTTGATTGATTGATTGATTTATATTGCCGCCTATTTGCCCATGGCGACTTGAGGCGGCTTACACAATGTAAAATGATATTTAAAACAAAAAAATAAAAATAAGAACTAACAAAAAGAATCAAATAAATTAGTAAAGTACAATAGAACAAAATTTGGAAGAACAAAAAACAAAACAAAAAACAAAAACCAGCTCCCACCCACCCCCACCCCGACGACAGCGGTTCATACTAGCCATTTGATGGGTTCCATCCTTCTCTGGGTTCCCCAGGCCCGCTGGCAAAACCAGGTATTCAGTGCTTTCAGAATAGTAATAAGGGGGCCATTCTAATCTCTGGGGGAATGATGTTCCAGAGAGAGCCACTACAGAGAAGGTCCTTCTTCTAGGTCCCACCAGGTGTATCTCCCTCAGGGTTGGGATCCACAGCATTCCCTGCCTCCTCGCACTAATGGGTCGGGTAGATGTCACTGGCAAGAGATATTTCCTCAGATAACCCGGACCCAAGCCATGAAGGGCTTTAAAGGTGACAACCAGCATCTTGAATTGCACCCGGAAGCAAATTGGCAACCAATGCAGCTCCTGCAGGAGAGATGATACATGTGCACACCGGGGTCTGCATAAAACCATGCGCGCCGCTGCATTTTGCACCAACTGGAGCTTCCGGATGCTCTTCAAGGGCAGCCCCATGTAGGGTGCGTTGCAATAATCAAGATGGAAGGTGCCCAGGGCATGAGTGACTGTGAGTACGGACCGCTGATCCAGGAAAGGGTGTAACTGGTGCCCAACCTGCAGTTGCACAAAGGCCCTCCTGGCCATGACTACCACCTGCTCTTCGAACAGGAGTCATGAGTCCAGGAAAACCCCTAGATTACGCACAGAGTCTGGGGTAGTGCCACCCAAGACTATAGGTGGTAATTCTCCCTGAACCAATGAACTCCAGACCCAGAGCCACTCAGTCTTGCAAGGGTTTAGTTTCAACTCGTTGCTCCCCATCCAGCCCCTAACAGCCTCCAGGCATTGTGAGAGGGAGGACACAGCAACACTTAACTCACCACGGGCCAAGACATACTGCTGAGTATCATCAGCATATTGGTGATACCTCAGTCCATGGTGATGGATGATCTTACCCAGCGGTTCCATATAAATGTTGAACAGGAGCGGAGAGAGTACCGAGTCCTGTGGAACCCCATAAAGCAGTGGGAGAGGGTTGGATCTCTCCCCTCCTATCAACACTGACTGAGAGCGGCCGCAGAGGAAGGAAGTGAACCAAGACAGCAGAAGGCCTCCCACTCCCATCCCCCGAAGCCGTCCCAGGAGAATCCCATGGTCAATGGTATCAAAAGCCGCTGAGAGGTCAAGTAGAGCAAGGATGAATGCACTACCCCCATCCCGCTCCCGCCAGAGATCATCTAAAAGTTCCACACTCAGTGCTGGCAGGGAAGGGCTGGGTTATACAGACAAATCCTCACGAGGCTGGAATGAAGAAGCAAGAGAGTTGTTTCCTACAAAAGCTCCCTCCCCCTTCCCTTCTCTTTTAATCCAGATTGGAGGGGCCATTCATTGTCCACCTGTGGCCTTACTTCCACATTAACCCCGAGTTCTTAATTGTGCTTTCCTTTTGGCAGCTCTGCGCATGCGCAAGCTGGGAACCGGTTCCAGAAGCTCCCCTGTCTCACTGCTGTCAGAGCCCGAAGGCAGCTGATGACTGCCAGCCTGCCCTGGCCCCATCAGCCTCTGACACAGACCCCTCATCCGAGCCTTCCTCAGCTTCCAGGAATGTCCCGGGTTCTTCCCCAACCTCCTCACTACTGTCCAACAACAAAATCCCTAGTGTTTGAGCTAATTTTGTCAACCTTTGGCTTGATTGTGTTGCTTATTGTGTAATTCATCTGAAGTTTCTCCTGACCCAGTCTTTCTGAATGAATCACCAAATCTGCATTTTTATAAGCTGGCCTCCTCAGTTTCTGCTTGGGGCAAGGAAATGGGCTGATTTCTGCCTCCCTTAAGATTTTTTTCCATTTCTCCTTTAGGGGAAATATTCTATCCTGCCTTTTTAATATTCCCCAAAATATTTCATTCTTCTGAAGGTGGGGAGCTCTCCCACACCCTGTTAGAATTAGAATGAATCAGCTGAAAGGGACCTTGGAGGTCATCTATTCCAGCCCCCTGCTGAAGCAGGAGAACCTATACTATTTATAATAAGTAACTGTTTAGACACTTCTTAAAAACTTCCAGTCATAGAGAACCCACGATTTCTGGAGGCCAGTTGTTCCACTGGTTAATTAGGAAGTTTCTCCTTAGTTCAAGGTTACTTCTCTCTTTGGTTAGTTTCCAATCATTGTTTCTTGTCCTGCCCTCTAATAGTTTGGAGAATAATTTGACCCCCCTCTTCTTTGTGGCAGCCCCTCAAGTACTGGAATACCGCTATCACCTAATTCTTTTTTTCTTTAGACTAGCCAAACCCAAATCCTGCAGCCATTCTTCATATGTTTTAGTCTCCAGGCCTTTGATCATCTTAGTTGCTCTTCTCTAAACTTTTTCCAAAGTCTTAACATCTTTTTTTAGTATGGTGACCAAAATTGGTTGCAGTATTCCAGGTGTGGTCTTACTTGGGTTTTATAAAGCAGTAGTAATATTTAACGTGATCTTGATTCTATACCTCTGTTTATTCAAGTTCTACCATTTTGTATTCAATCATTAGTTTGCAATATTCTGTTGAAGTGTTTGGAGGTCTTTATGGTTTTCCCCACGGGGAACACTTTCCAGTGGCTAATGTTTTCGACCGTTGTCTTTTAGAAAAAAAAGCTAGCATTGATTTTACACTGCTGCATTCCTGTTTTATAAATGGATGTTATATATTGTCAGAAGTTTTCTGAAAGTATACTGCTATATTTTCTGTTATTAGGATTTACCTCCAATTCGGAATGAAGCTTACAAAAAAAAGAAGAGCAAAGTTAAAACAGTCTCAAAACAAACAAGTGAGAAAAACGAAAAAAACAAGATAAAATCTTACGATTACGAGGCTTGGGCGAAGCTGGATGTGGTATGAGAATATTTTTTATTAAATAGGTTTATCAAAATGTTAGGCAAGATTTTGTGACATTTATACACACAACTATAAATTATTAGTTTTTATGTTATATATATGTTGGTGACAACACTGAAGATACCAGTCTTATGTGTTGTAGTACTTCATTAAAACTGATATCCAAAATCAAAAAAAGAAAATGTTTTTTTTATAAAAAGTATAGTTGACAATATTGTGTAGCATGCATTAATTTTGTTTTAATGCATAAACACTACTTTAAAGTTTGGGGAAATATTTTATTTATATCTGTTGCACATAACCTTGATGCTTTCATGAAAAGCACTATATTAATATGACAATAATATTATACACACCACACTCACACTTTTAACGTAAAAAATGTCAGACACAGGAAGAAGATGATTATACTTCTAGAAGTTATGAAGAAATTTATTTCGTTCATTAGGAAAGAGTTTGATGGAATAGTTGGAAATAGTATAGAAAGGTTATGATTTTGCCATTGATACAAATACTTCTCTTTTTTTTAGATAAAGTTTTTTATTTTTAAACACAAACATACACATACAAAAACATAAAAACATAAAATCCTCTTCCATTTTATATACATACAGTGTGTCGGTTGGTTACGTATTTTTTGTGCTATACTTTGTAGTCATTTACTCACAATTTATACCAATCTTCACATTGTCAAATTAACATATGTTTATATATTTATCAATTATTAATCATCCATGACTAAACTATTTATTCCATCATTTTATACGAGATGTTCCACATTTTATCTTAAAATTTATGTTATACTTTCAACCAGTGGTTATATATATCTGGATTATGTTTTATATCAATCTATTAGATTTCTATCACAAAATTATCTAGTCTATTACATTACCATGCCTTTTTATCCAACCATTGATAAAACAAATCCCATATCATATAAAATTGCTTATCTTCTTGTTCTCTAATTTCAAATGTCAGTTTACTCATTTCAGCACAGTCCATAATTGTTTTGATAACTTCCTTCTGCATAGGTATTTTGTCATTTTTCCAGTTCTTCGCAAATACAATTCTAGCTGCTGTTAAGACATTTACAATCAAATATTTCATTTCTTTATTATATATGTCTGGTATGACTCCCAATAAAAAGATCTCTGGTTTAAACTCTATGTGCTGTTTTATCATTTTTTCCAACTATGTGTGGATTTTAGTCCAATATTTCTTTGCGTCTGAACATGTCCACCACATATGGTAATATGAACCAGTTATCTGATGACATTTCCAGCATTTATCCGATTTATTCTTAAACATTCCCGCAAGTCTCGTCGGGGGTAGATGCCATCTGTAAAACATCTTATGCAAATTTTCTTTATATGCAGTTGACATTGTCATTTTATAATTTTGAGACCACAATTTTTGCCATTTTTCCAAATCAATTCCATATCCAAAATTTTTCCCCCAAGCAATCATTGTTTCTTTAACTTGCTCCTCCTCCAATTTAAATTCTAATAGATATCCATAAAGTTTTTTAATTACCTTTTCATCAGTACCTATCAAAATTTTATCTAAGTCAGTCAACTTATCATACCTTCTGCCTTGGAGTCTTTATCAAACCTAGATTGTATTTGCAAATAAGAAAAACAATTCATTTTTACACCTTGTTCTTGCAACGTTTGCATAGATTTAAGTTCACCCTTTTCATTCAATAACTTCCCATATGTAACTGTTTGTTCCTTTTTATATATTATTGGATAGGAAAAAGCTTTAATAGTTGATATCCATGTTGGAATTTTTAAATAATATTGTCTTTTAATCTTCTCCCAGCTCAAAAACAATGCCTCACGAATATAATGTCTTCTAAAATACCCCTGTGTTTTAGTTCCCTTATACCAGAGAAAGGCATGCCATCCCAGCAGCAAGTCGTGGCCTTCTAAAGTCAATAATCTACTGTTCCTTAGTGTTATCCATTCCTTTACCCACATCAAACTTGTCGCCTGGTAATACAGCTCCCAATTGGGCAAGGCAAACCCTCCTCTTATTCTTGCATCTTGTAACAGCTTTAATTTTATTCTTGCTTTTTTACCCTGCCAAATATATTTCAACACAATTCTATTTAAATCTTCAAAAAACTCTTTCCCTAATCGAATAGGAATTGTCTGGAATAAATATAAAACTCTAGGCAGTATATTCATCTTAATTGTGGATATTCTCCCAATCAATGATAGTTGCAATTTTTCCCATTTCATCAAGTCTGTCTTCCTTTAGGGTACTGCATCTTGGTGTAATATAAAAGTATTTAACCTTGTTCATGACCTGTATTTTTAAAGTTTCTTCCAACTCTTTTGTCTTGTTAACATATTCTTTGTTAATATCTTTGTTTTGTCTTTATTTATTCTCAGACCTGCTACTTTTCCATATTCTTCTATTTTTTCTATTAATTTGGGTGTTGTTTCCATTGGGTCTTCTAATATAAATACCAGGTCATCTGCAAAAGCTTGCAATTTATACTCCTCCTTTTTAATTTCATTCCTTTTATTTCTTTTTCTTCTCTGATATTCCTGTTCAACACTTCCAATGTTAACACAAGCAGCAGAGGCGACAATGGACAGCCTTGCCTTTCTTATATCTATGGATTCTGTTAATTCTCCGTTCACCATCACCTTTGCAGTTTGTTCATGATATATTGTTTCAATGGCTTGGATAAATTTCTTACCAAAGCCCATTTGTATCAGTTGCAGTAAAATAAATCGCCAACTCACATTGTCAAAGGCTTTTTGAGCATCTAAAAACAGCAAGGCCATATTCTTCTCAGGGTGTGCTTCATAATATTCCAGAGTATTCAAAATGATTCTCACATTGTCTTTGATTTGTCTCTTTGGCTGAAATCCATTTTGATCAGTATGAATAAAATTATTTAAGTATCTTTTTAGTCTTTCTGCCAAAATTGAAGCAAAGATTTTATAGTCTGAGTTCAGTAAAGATATAGGTCTATAATTTTTAACTTGCTGTAGGTCTGTACCTTCCTTCGGTATAAGTGTAATGTACGCTTCTGACCATGTTTTTGGTATTCTTTTCTTTAACATAACTTCATTCATAACTTCTAGAAGATGAAAATTCAATATTTCCTGAAAAGTCTTATAGAATTCCGCTGGCAACCCATCTGGACCTGGTGCTTTCTCAGCATTCTGTATTTTTAAGGCTTCTGTTAGTTCCATCATTGTTATATTTCCTTCTAACATTGTTTCAATATTTTTGGGTATCTGAGGTAAATTCGCTTTCTGAAGATATTGCTTGATTTTTTCTTCTTGAATATTCTCTTGAAAATACAGTTTCCCATAGTAATCTTGTATAATTTTTTCTTCTCCTCATTTCCATAACAAACCTGTCTTTCTTTCTTTATCAATTGGTTAATTCTTCTTGCTTCTCTTTCCTTTCTCAATTTATAAGCTAGCCATCTGCCTGGTTTATTTGCATCTTCAAAGTAATTCTGTTTCACACTTTTAATTTTTTTGTGCTAATTCCTCTTTTTCCATTAGTCCCATTTTATGTTTAATTATATCCATTTTATTTTTAATGTCTTTTTTTGTGGGCACTTTGTAAGTCTTTTTCCAGTCTTTTATAGTCATCCTCTAATGTCTTAAATGTCTTTTTCTGTTTTATGTTTCTTCTCCTAGTATAATCTATTATCAAGCCTCTTGTGTAGGCCTTCATCGTGTCCCAGAGATTCTGTAAAGATGTATCCTCTTTTCTATTTTCTTTGAAGAAGAAAACAAGTTATTTCTCTATTTTCTGTTTAAAGTCTTTTTCTTTTAGAATCATATTCATCTGGATCTCTTCTTGTATCCTTTCCAAATAACTGATACTGGATTATGATCTGCCCATGTGCTTGTTTTTATTTCATCCATATCATATTTATTCCAGACCAGGATATGTGTCTATTTGAATAAAAAGTATATTGCTTACTTTCTGCATTTCTCTCTCTCCATGCATCTTTTAAATTAAATTCTTCTGTTATTCAAAGGAAGGATTTTGGTAGTATCTTTCTAACTTTCTTTGTTGTTTTCTGTGTTTTATAGTCCAACCAGTCATTAATTATTCCATTAAGATCACCCATCATGCAGATATTAACATAGTCCAAATCAGTTATTTTTGTAATTTCCTATAAAATTCTTCTTGTTTATCATTCGGGGCATAAATTGCAATTAAAAGTGTTTTAACGCTGTTATCCGTTATCTCTACCATCAAAATCCTTCCATCATCATCTGTGTAAATTAGTTCTGCCAAAATTGTTTCTTTAATATATAATGCCACACCTCTTTTCTTCAATTGTGCCAGCGATGTGAATAATTTCCCTAATTTTTCTTGTTTTAGTATATATTCATGTTGCTTTTTAATATGTACCTCTTGTAAGCAGATTATATCAAATTTTAATTTATCTAATTTGTGAAATACTTTCCTTCTTTTAATAGCCAAATTAAGTCCATTTATGTTAATCGTAATCAATTTTCTTTCATCCATGTTAAATTTTATAGGAGGGTTTTATTGCTGTAGTAGATCTCAATTCTCATTGTTCTGTGGGTTCACCACCTACTGCACCTTCTTCTTTTTCTTTTTCAATTACTGCTATAGACTCCTCTTGGAATTCAATTAGTGATTCTTCCTTTCTTTCTTCTTTCTCCTTTTCTCTAAAGTATTCTAAGTAGAATAGCTCAGCTTTTCCAACTGTGTCAATTCTGTGTCTTTGTTCCTGCCAAGTGAACAAAAGGCCTTCTGGCATCAGCCATCTGTAGTTTACTCCTCTTTTAAGTAGCTCTTTAGTCAAGAATAAATATTCTCTTCTCATCTCTCTTACTTTTCTTGGTATCTGTTTCAGCACCACAGTTTCTTTATTTTTATATTTTAGTGTTTTCTCTCTCACCACCTGGAGTATCTGTGTCTTAATACTCTTCTTAGTAAATCTGATGTGAACTTCTCTTGGTAGTCTATTCCTCATTGCATATCTTGTGTAGACATGAAACACTTCATCCATCCCATCCATCATCTTTTCTTTAGTTATTTCCAGTGCTTCTGCCAATATTTCTGCCATTATTTCAGCAAGGTTTTCGCCTTTCCCTTCTTCTATATTTTGAAATCTTAAGTAAAATTCTGATTTGTCCATTTCCCATCCTAATGATTCACCCCTGCCCTTCTCGATATTGCTCAAACGAATATCAATATCTCCAATTTTCTTATCTCTTTATATATCTTCTTCAATTTTTTTGAATCTGTCTTCATATTTCATCATCATCTGTTGAATATTTTCCACTTTTTCATCTGTCTTTTCAATTTTTTGGTCAATTTTCTGAATTTCTTGCATGATCATCTGTAATGTCACTTCCTTCTCTTTCTCTTTTTCCTGTTGTAATATTGTCTGTATAGATCGTTGTCCTCCATATGGTGAGGGGGTTGGTATCGAAGAAGCTGGGGCTGTTGTCTTTCTACTCATCTTGTAATGCTTATCTGTACAGAAAGAGAGAGAAAAAAGAAAAAAAGAAAAAAGAGGGAAAAGGAAAAAGAAAAAACAAAACAAAGGCAAACAGTTGCCACTCCAAAGAAAAAAAGGAAAAAGGTATTCTTCAGGCACTTGTATACCTTAATCCAATTATTTGCAATGGTAGGTGTAAAAAATAAAAATTAAAAAGGAAAAAAAGAAAAAAGAAAAATATTCAATATGTTCCTCTTGATAGTCAAAACAACCCACCCAAAATAAAAGGTTTACATTCTAGTTCCTGGTTTAAAAAGTTAAAATCCAACTAGAGAGAGAGAAAAAGAGCCCCACTAGTGAGGGAGGGTAGAAAGGGAAGCAAAAGGTAAAAAGCAATTCTAATATAAAACAAGCCTCTGCCGTCTAATATCCAAGGCTCTTTGATAAATCAGCTCAGAGTTTTTCAAGGTCACTTCAATCTTCTTTCTTTCAACTTCAACTCCAACTTATCTGTTCAGAAATGAGCACCTGAATAAACAAACTGCCATGCTATCAACAAACTATCTTTTCCAATACACAGCTCAGAGTCCTTTATTGTAACACAAACTAGTGAAAGGAAAAAAGAAACAATGTATCCAAGCCTCTGGGCAGCAGTGCAACTTACTTTCCTTCACTTTCACTTCCCCCTCCTCAATCTACAACCAAGAACAACAAGAAAGAAAGAAAAAAGTAGAATCTCCCCCCCCCCTTTTTTTTAAAGGGAGAGAAATAAATCTTAAATCAAGCAGAAGAGTCTTAATCAAAAGAGAAATTTCAAAAGGATTGTTAAAAAAAGGAGAAGGAAATACAAACAGAAATAAAAAGATTAAAAAGTACCAGTCCAGCTTAAAAAGTAAAACAGCCTTGCCAAGTTCAAAATTCCAATAAAAAGGGGAAAAAAGGACAAAACTTTCACTTTGATAATTAATACTGCCACTTAAACTCTTTCCTCTTCACTTTTAGTCCACTTTCATTTTTTCAGGGTGTTCTCTCCAAGAAATAATAAGTAAAAGTTCATCTCACCAAACTGACACACTTTCTTCCAGTCTCTTCCGTTCCGGAGCTGTCTCAGCTTCAGCAGCTTGGGAGGCTGCCTCTCTGCCGCCGGCAAAAAGGGCTTTCCTTGGATCAACCAGGGACTTTGCGATGTCCCTGGGAACAACAGGATGTGCCCTTGTCAATCACTGTCTCTACGGGACGGTTTAGGTCCATGGGGACCGACCAGCAGCTGAGATATCAACGGTGATCTTGGAGAATCAAGATCTCCCGTCCAACCGCCAGGACGCCAGCTCCACCCTCCACAAATATTTCTATATAGTACCAGTATTATTAAATATACATGACACCCTTCTCACTATCAAGCCACTATATAGACTTTATATATCTGCAGGGTTCTCTTTATGTATCATACATTTACTTATATTGCTTCCTTATTACATTATATACTCATTCTTTAAATTTGTTTTGCCTTTGTATATATATTTAAATTTGTCTTTTCAGGATAAGATACTTGAAGAATTCGATAAGGAAGATACCACTCATGACTCAGTGTCAGATTCTGAGGAAGATGGAATTCGCATTGATACAGAAAAAGCTCTTGCTGAGAAAGAAAAGGTTATTTTTCATGTTTCAATGATCCACATTTTTTCTTCTAATGCTCACTAAGGAATAGAATGGCCAAGTGTGATAGTACACACAAGGAATTTGTCTTGGTGCAAATACTCTCAGTATACATAAAAGAAAAAATACATTCATCAAGAGTCAAGAATCATAAGGTACAACACTTAATGATAGTCATAGGATACAATAAGCAATCAAATCATACTAGGAAACAGTCAATATAAATCGTAAGGGTACAAGTGACAAAATTACAGTCATACAGTCACAAGTGGGAGGGGATGGGTGATAAGGAATGATGAGAAGGTTGACAGTAATAGTAGTGCAGACTTTGTAATAGTTGAACAGTGTTGAGGAAATTATTTGTTTAGCAGAGATATGGAGTTCGAGAAAAAACTGTTCATGTATCTAATTGTTCTGGTGTGCAGTGCTCTATAGCATCGTTTTGAGGGAAGGAGTTGAAACAGTTTATGTCTGGGATGTGAGGGGTCTGTAAATATTTTCACAGCCCTTTTTTTGCCTCGTGCAGTAACCAGGTCTTCGATTGAAGGCAGGTTGGTAGTAATTGTTTTTTCTGCAGTCCTAATTATCCTCTGAAGTCTGTGTCTGTCCTGTTGGGTTGCAGAACCAAACCAGATAGTTATAGAGGTGCAGATGATAGACACAATAATTCCTCTGTAGAACTGTATCAGCAGCTCCTTGGGCAGTTTGAGCTTTCTGAGTTGGCGCAGAAAGAACATTCTTTGTTGTATTTTTTGATGACGTTTTTGATGTTAGGTGTCCATTTTGGGTCATGTGATATAGTAGAACCTAGAAATTTGGAGATCTCTACTGTTGACACTGTGTTGTCTAATATTGTAAGAGGTGGTAGTATGGGAGGGTTTCTTCTAAAGTCTACCACAGGTTAAATTAACAGGATAAATTAACCTATATAATAGTATGTATTCTCAAACTCTAGTTGAGAATGATTTTTTTCTTTATGTTATGCCTTTATTATTTGTACAAATAATTCAAGGCATATTCAGTATATCTTCTTCCTATTTTTCCACAGCCCTGTGAGGTAGATTGGGCTGAGAGAGAGTGACTGGCCCAAAGTCACCTACCTGGCTTTCATGCCTAAGGTGGGACTTGAACTCACAGTCTTCCACTTTCTAGCCTGGTGCCTTAACCACTAGACCAAACTAGCTCTTAAGTTTCAAATTCTTATATTGTTCAGTTATATGAATTTTGAAGCCAAAATTTGGATTTTAGTAAAACCAGGATTATGTCTTGCTGTTCTTTAGTTTTTCATAATATTTTATTCATATTGTAATTTGATTGCCTATATCTACAGCTATATTAAACATGATTTTTTCATAAAATTTCAAAATTGTCAATAAGTAGTGTTCTAAATCAAATTACAGAATGCTTTGGGAAAAAAATGCCTTTAGAATATATTACAATGCAATAGTGACCATGATTTAATATTCCTATATATCTATGTCTTCTTTGTTTTTCTTCTACCATGGATTTGTAGATCCTGAAATTTATGTTCTTAAAATTCTTTTAAAAATATTAATTCTTAGATCTATCTAGATAATTATCAAAACTGATGGATGTCTTTACTGCCATCTGATTATCTGCTAGAACAGAAGTGTCAAACTCTATTTCATTAAGGGCCTCATCAGTGTTGTGGTTGACCTCGGGGCCAGATGGGTGTGGTCAGGGCGACGTTGTACATGTTGGGGGTACCTGTGGTGGTCTGGATGGGGCTGGGAGGATGCATTGTCTCCAGCAGACGAAGGGGAAACCAGGGTGAGCGCCAAACCCTTGTCCATCAGAGGAGTCTCGCTGTCCCTCTCAGGCCATGCGGGGGACCCCCAGACAGTGGCGCAGGCCTCCTGGCCTAGGCAGTGGAGGGCAAGCACCCAGCCCAACGCTTGAGCTCCAGGGCCTTGGCACCCCACAGCCCAGCTGCACTAACCTCCTTCTCGAGGCTCTTGCTGCTATGCTCACTCTCCTTGGCCAGGTTGTTCATGGTGCGTGCAGGAGGGCAAAGTGTGTGGGTCAGAGGGAGGCCTACTCCCACTCCTTGTAACCAAAGCATTTGTAACCAAAGCATCCTCAGCTATAGGATGAGAGACTACCAGGAGTGAAAGGGGCAAAGGGGTGGTGAAAGGGCAACAGGACTGCTGGTGGCTAAGTGCTAAGACAGGACTTCCCTCAGACCTTCCCTCTCATAATCTCCCTCCCTCCCTCCTGCATTTCTCATTAGGTAAAAATACAAGCCCTTCTTCCCCGTCACCCACTCCTACCTCCTTAGGCTATCAGCTGCCTGCATATTTTGAGACACATAGCAATGAACGATTGAATCTGTGTGTTCCCATCTCCCTCCTTCCCTCCCTTCCTTTCTTCGAGCAAGGTATGGAGGCTTGTGGCACCCATCCGGGCTGGAACATGGTCAGCCCTAGATCTGACCCGCGCGGCCACCCTGAAGCCAGCTAGGGGCCATACCAACATCTCAGCCCTGCCCCCGAGTGTGCACACAGGAGGTGGTGACCGCTGGCTTCCTGGGTTAAAAGGGAGCACTCTAAACACAGTCAACCTGCATGGCAAGATGTACTCGCTGCCTCCTATGCGCACCTCCAAGGGGAGGGGGGGCAGCTCCTAGCTGGCTCCAGGACGGCCCTGCAGATCTAAGGCTGACCATGTTCTGGCCCAGATTGTAGATCAGCGCCTGGGCTGAGCCAAGGTGCCGCTGGCTGGTCCTTCGTTGTCCCAAGGGCCAGATCTAACCACATCGCGGGCTGGATCCTTGTGTTTGACATGTCTGTGTTAGAATAAAGCCTGACAACTAATATGAATTCTTATGCATCTTAACGTTTAAAAAAGTTAGAATTGAGAGTTGATAGATTGTGAAATAGATTGTCCTTCTGTCTTTTTCCAATGCTGTACCTAGTCCAGAATTTTATCTATAAAACAATCCCATGAGTTAGATTACAGTGAGAAAGTAACAAACCAAATATCTTTCATGAGCATTATTCTTTCTTTTATAAAAGATTGTTTTGTTTTTTATTCATTTCAGTCATTCAATTTAAACTATTTGGATACTACTAATTGAAGATAAGAATTCTTAAAGAGATTCAGATGAAATGTCATAAAATTAGATTTATAAAATTGCCATTTCAATTACTATGATGATGTGGGAGATACAGCATTTATTTAACAGAAAGAGTTTGAGAAGCCCAGAATATTATTGTTGAATCGGACTCTCCTGTTAAATTAAATTGAAGGATTTCATTTATCTAGCATTTTAAAATAATTCTGTTGATTTGAAAAAGTGGGAAATTATTGTTTCAAATACATGAGAAAAAGAGAATAAGGGTTTGTAATAATATTCATCTTTGTGTTTTATCACATTTGTTTTAACAGGGCAATGCTTATTTTAAACAAAGAAACTATGATGCTGCAATAGAATGCTATACAAAGGGAATGAATGCAGATCCTTACAATCCCGCTTTGCCTACAAATAGGGCATCTGCCTTTTTTCGGCTAAAGAAGTAAGTTTGTTGGTTTCCATCATATTTCACTTCAAATATAATCAATTTCAGAGGATATTGAATTACATATGTTTTTTACATATGTTTTATTAGGATACATTTACCACACCATTATCTGACAAAAATTTTGTCTTGCTAGTTTTAACCTTGTAATTTTCTCTCTCTCTCTCTCTCTCTCTCTCTCTCTCACACACACACACACAACACGTATTATAATAAAAAACAAGACTATTTTTCCAATTGGAGAGCAGTGCAAAATAGAGCTATCTGAAGAATGCAAAATGTAGTACAAGAAAGGAAAGAAAAACTAATACATTTTTAAAATATATATGTGCTTTAAGAAGAATTACTTCATTCCCATTGCAATTTTGTTACACATCAAATTTCACCTTAAGGATGCTCAGGGAAATGCATTTTAAAAATCCCATTTTAGTAGTAAAACAATTCTGTGAAGTGAGGAAGACCAAGTGAGAATGATAGGCCCCATGCATTTAATGCTTGAATAGACTTTGAACAATTTGTGCTTCCTTTTTGTTATCATTTGATTTGGATTCTGGGCAAGAAAACTTTGTCAAACAGACAAAATTTGGAGAGTTCGCTTTAGCAAAGCATTCTTCACTCTTGGTTACTTTTGTGATATTGTTACTTGGAACACTTCTGGATTAAAGAAGAGAACCAAATTTTAGACAACTTCTTGTTTTCTGCTATTTTCTAGAATATTTTCTCATGCTTATTTTAGGTTTTGAAAAACAAGGATCTTTTGCTAATCCTGTGTTAATTTTGCCTGTTAATGGGTCTTTTTAAATACTTCACAATCTTTAGTGTATTTAGTGCTTTCGCAGACAACCATCTGCCAGGGTGGAGGCTCCCTCATGGGGTGCAATCAAACTTCCAACCCGGATCATCCCAGATCAAAAACCTGAGTGCCGCCAGCCTGCCAGGGCCCCTTCAGAAGTGGCTGCCGGTGGAGCCCTGCTGCCTATGCCGCCTCTCCCGCCACTGACTTTGGGCTGCTGTGCGCCAGCCTGCATGCCTATTCGGTGCTGCAGGCGCCAGGCTTACCATACATCTATGCTGAGCCTAATGTTCTTCAGAGCCTGGTGGGTGCTGCACCTCTCTTACCAGCTGTGCAAAGCAGGCATTAGGGCTGCCCCTGGTCGCCTTTGGCGCCTGCCTCATCTGCGGCTCTGCAGTCACCTCGCCTTCCACCAGCCCAGCTCACCACCAAGACCCAATCGAAAACCTCTGAAAACGTGAGCGCTGCCAACCTGCCAGGGCCCCTTCGTGAGCAGCCGCTGGTGGAGTCATGCTGCCTCGCCCGCTGCCATTCCATGCACAGCTGGAATGAGAGTTGCAGCGCCCACCAAGGCCCAAAGGTTTTCCAAGGTTTTCGATCTGAGATAATTCATCCCGGCCAGGCAGGAACAGTCCTGCAGCGCTGCCAAGAGCAGTGCTGCCAGGAAGTAAAGAGGCCAGCAGCAGCATGGGTAGCCGCTTGGCCATTTAAAGACTTGTGGATTTCATCTCCCAGAACTTCCCCTCCATCATCTCCTTCCCCTTTTTGGGTTGGGGTAGCTCGTGCCCACTGGATCTGTTGGGGTTGGAAATTTGATAGCGCCCCACAAGGAAACCTTCACCCTGGCAGACGGTTGTCTGTGAAAACTGAGATGGACAGCCGGAGGGGTGGATGGGGGAGAGAAGGGAATGAGAAAGCACAACCCTTTCTCAGCACAAAGCTTCACAGAAAGCGAATCAAACCATGATGAAGGGGGGATTTTCCTGTGAGTACGGTGTTAAAAGTTAACATTTCAGAAATGTTACCGGTACCTGCAGAGGTCTCCTGGTGCAATGCTCTGCTGCAGCTTTAGAGCATACCTCCACTTTCCCTGCATAGGATTCCAAGGCTGGAGGCTTCATCTTGCTCTGATCATCCAGAAAACCCTCTCCCTCCCCCATTTCCTTGCTGATCATTCTATCCTTGGGGAGCTCTGCACAGACACACATTCCAAAAATGTTCCCTCTGAAACCTTCAACTCTGCAATCCTGCGCAGGGGAAGGTGAAGGTTTGCTCGGCAGAACGTTGCACTGAGAGGCCTCCGCAGAGAGCAGAATGAGAGGCAGCTCCCAGCCCTTGCTGGCTCAATTGATCGGGCTGTGATTAAGGGGCCAAGCCTCCATGAGGTGACTGGGGAAATGCGGCACCCACAAAATCAGCTGTTCCATGGAGCAAGTTGCTGGTAAGACCATTAGGCAAGGAGGCACTCCCGGCCTCCCAGAACATGGGGAAAACAAATAAGGCTTCCACAAAAATAAGATCTAAATTGAAACACCAGTACCCTATCAGTGGTTGGCTAGTATTCTCCTCAAAATTGGACAACCAGTGTGAGAATTTTTTTTTACACAGTCCTTCCAATGTACAGTAGTAGACTATGTCTTCAACAGCCTTGATAGCTTATGAAGTTAAGAATGGAAGCTTTTTTAAGCTTTGCTCCAATTGTTCATTGATGGCTTTGAGAAATAATATGGTGAAATAGTTAAGATGATGGATCTAAAAGACCCAGGTCCAAATCCTCCCCTATGGTAACTTGCTAGATAACTTTGTACAAGATTTCTCAGACCTCGGTAATCAGAGAAATTGGAGGAAGATATCTAATGCAGAATTACTGAACTACTGAAAGAAATGTAGCAGATAAATAATTTCAGAATTTATATCAGGGCTTGTCATTTTATTAGTAAGTTTTTAATGAATAATTATTTTAATAGTCATACAATTCCATTTCAGGTTTTCTGTGGCTGAATCTGATTGCAATTTAGCTCTTGCCTTAAACAAAAATTACACAAAGGCTTATAGCAGAAGAGGGGCAGCTCGTTTTGCCTTGCAAAATTTTAAGGGTGCCAAAGAAGGTACATGTCATGTATTATATCAGTGGTCGCCAACCGGTGGGCCTCAGCCCACTGGTGATCCGGGAGAAAATTTTGGTGGGCTGCAGCGCACCAGTGTCTGCAACAGGGGTGATACTGGCAGCAGTTGGAGTGATGCATGCAGAAGATCGCAGCATCGGAACTCTTCCCGGGTGTTCCAGGGCCTGCGAGGAGGTGGGGTGGAGGGAAAGGAACCTCTGAACTGGTGCTGGGTGCTGGGAATCTGATGTCCTAAGGCTGACAAGCCACGTGCTGAAGACCAGATGGCTGGTGGGAAGGTAGGCCAATCCTGCAGTCTCCCTAGCTGCCTAGCAAACCCGTGTCGTGGCTGCTGCCTCCTGCTTCAGCACATCAAGGAGGCCGAGCAGCAGCGGGAAGAGCATGGACTTCCTGAGCCACAGGAAGCGATTGCTAGCGATGCCCTCAGGTGAAGATATTGCAAGGGGGAGGCTCGACCCACTCTTCCTCCTCGCCAGAAGTGCTCACACACCCAGTGGGAAGGAGGAGGCTTGGCAGGTGCCAGAAGAGTGGTGAGTGCTTCTGGCAAGGAGGAAGAGAAGCTTCTGAGGGGAGAGGCATGGGAGATCGCGCCCTCCCCTCGCAGGCCAGGGAACACCCAGGAAGGGCTCCGATGTCGCGATCTGCACATATCAGTCCATCCGCTATCGGTATAACCCCTGTTGCCCCACCACCCCGCCAGCCATCTGGTCTTCAGTATGTGGCTCATCGACCTCCAGACATCAGATTCTCACCATCCAGCACCAGTTCAGAGGTTCCTTTCCCACCCCCACCCCCACCCCCGGGGACAGGAGGGGGAAGAGAGAGAAAGAGGGAGGAAGAGGGGAGGAAGAGAAAGAGGGAGATCGGTAGAAAGAGAGAGGGAGGGAAAGAGGGGGAGTGAGAGACAAAGAGAGAAAGAAAGGGAGAAAGAGGGAGAAAGAGAGGGGGAGGGAAAGAGAGAGAGATGAGAGATCCCAGTGTTTTGTTTTCTGTGGGAAACGGGGCCAAATGACTCTTTTGAGTATTTAAGGTTGGAGAAACAGACAGCCAAGTTAAGTGCCTGAAGGACCCCATCCCATCGGTGGGAGTCCAGGTGCTTCAGCGAGCGGGCCGTTGGATTCGTATTACTGGTCCGTGGGATTTAAAATTATGAATTTGATGGTCCTTGAGGTCCAAAAGGTTGGCGACCCCTGTGTTGTATAATGCATTCCTTTTTTTGTTGTGTTTTGCAAAAACTTTGATTTATAGAGTATATATTTCAGTTTATCACTATTACTTTCCATTCACTGCTGCTTCTCCAGTCTCAGCATAGAAGAACTTGGCCAATTATTCTTAGGTTGCCTAAGAGGGTTTTTTTGTGTTATTGTGGTAAATATTTGTGATTTTAAAAAATTTAAACACTGACATAATATGCTTTATTTGATCTTTGTAGAAGATCTTACAGATTTGTACATAAAAGTTATTTTTTACAGTTTTATCCCATCTTTAGATAGATGATAGGCTATGTTAATAAATTGAAAACAAAAAATGAACTGTGGCCATGTTCAATCAAAATGAAAACAAGTACATGCAAGAGTTAGTTTCTAATATTGTAGAATATAACTATAATACTCTAGACCAGCAGTGTCAAACTCGCAGCATCAAGTGACATATTGGACTTTTTTCCCCTTTACTAAACCGGGCGTGGGCATGGCCAGCACATGACGCATCCAGCCCATGGGCCACAAGTTTGACAGTTCTGCTCTAGACAATGGAGTGTATTTCAGGAATGAACTAGTTTATCTAGCTCACAGTTTTTGCACTGAACCATGTCATATTTTATATAAAGAACCACTACTGTATCATAATGGAAGCTTTTTTTCTTTCTTTAAAGAATTGTCTTATACAATCATCATTTTTGAAAATTCTATCTTGATATCTTCATGCAGATTATGAAAAGGTTTTGGAATTGGATTTAAACAACTTTGAAGCGAAGAATGAACTAAGGAAAATTGAACAGGTGAAGAACATCAGCTTAATCAATTTGCCAATGACCATGATTCTGTGTAGCCTAAATATTTGAAATATTGTTTATGTTTTTATATTAGGCTCTCTTGTCAAAAGAAAATTGTCAGGCTGAAGAAACAGATACCTTTAGGAAAGTAGAAATTGCAGAAGATGAACTGAAACAATTGGAGGAGGATACAGATACCTTTAGGAAAGTGGAAATTGCAGAAGATGAACTGAAACAATTGGAGGAGGAGCAGTTGAAGCAAAAGGCTCTGGCAGAAAAAGATTTGGTAAGCAGCAATGCAAGAATATTTTTCAGGTATTTAAATTGGAATGTTTTTGGTCTAACCATTTCTTGGCCAGTGGCAGAATGACCATGCTATTCACGGATTGCATTCTAATAATTGATAACTACGTTTGCCCAATATTGTTAAACTGATTTTTTTTCTGTGCTTGCTTTGCATGTCAGTAATTTCAGATGATGCATTGCCTACAATTGGCTTATGACATCTCAATTTAGCTTATAATTTCAACAGTAACGCTAATTGTGGTATCAGGCAGTGTAGTCCAAACAACTGGAGACATCATGTTGCTTACTGTCTGATACCAAGCACACAGAATCCTATATAGCTGTCTGAAAAATTTCCCCGTGGTCAATTCTTCCTGCTCTATTCTTGCAAATAAAATTATTGAGAAAAGTGTTATTTTCAGTAGTACATGAATGCATATATTTAGATTACAACATCATTTATTTCTTTACCCAAATATGATAGGGTAACAGATATTTCAAAGAAGGTAAATATGAAATAGCAATAGAATGTTACACACGTGGAATAGCAGCAGATGGCACCAATGCACTTCTTCCAGCAAATAGAGCTATGGCCTATCTAAAAGTTCAAAAGTGAGTTGTGTGAATTTATCCTTTTTATGTATGCATTTTTATGAAATTCACTTTTAAATGCATAATGATTTTTATTAAACCGTTCATTTTATTGTGTCATTGAGAATGGCTTACGAGGAGTCCTTGGTGCTCTCTGAGTTTGCTTGTTTTCTTATAGACGTTTCATTACCCTAACTAAGTAACATCATCAGTGCTAGTAAGGAGATTTGTCAGTGCCAGGCTTCTAGAAATTCCCTGGCATTTTTGGACTTGGCCTAGTCTAAGATTGTCACATTTTTCCCAATTGATTTTCTTTGATAATCAGCCATCAATAGACACATAGACATTAACAACATCTATAGACTATGCAAAAGAGATAATTAATCAGCCCAAAAGGGAAAAAGACTCCACCTCTCCACCAATAATCAGCACTCAGATCAGCATAGATTAACTCCAAGGTCAACTTCAGACCAACAATCAAGTAAGCAATACCCGAATCAAGAAACTGCTAAAATAGCCATCAGTAAACTGTCCAATCAAAGAATCTCTGAGACTGCTCCCATCCACACAGACAGGCAAGACACCAGAATGTAAACTGACAGCAAATAGCACTCCATACTAGCACTGATGATATTACCTAGTTAGGGTAATAAAACGTCTGCAAGAAAACAAGCAAGCTCAGAGAGCAACAAGGACCCCTCTTTTCAACCCTAAGCTACAATATTCTTTATTGGTAGAATGGCTTACATTAAGTAGTTCTGAACTAATACTTCTCACATGTATTTTAGTTGTACATAATTCATCAAATTTACATGTTTTCTTAGTGGACTTAATTCAGTCACAATTATGTATTTATTTGCCTTTCGTCTTTATTTTTTATCAACATTCACAAAACACAACTAGTAAAAATCCAACAACATCTTGCAAGGAATTATTGTTGTTAGCTTCAGATAGAGTATCTTACCATTCTAGTATCTACAAGATTTTTGTTTCTTATTAATAAACATATATTAGCCCTACCCTGTTGAGGTGATTTTACATGCATTCTAGTATATATTTCTCTTTCATACCTCACATAAAATATGAAAACCTTCATTGGAATAGGTGAGAATTACTGTATGCTTTAAGAGCTCAAAACTGTATTAAATTATTCTGTAATAAGTATTTTTTTAAACAAGCAACTCTTTATCAATAAGATATGGAGAAGCAGAGGAAGATTGCACTCGAGCTGTGCTATTTGATCCTTCATATTCTAAAGCCTTTGCCAGAAGAGGCACAGCGAGAGCTGCCCTTGGAAAACTAAAAGAAGCTATGCAAGGTAGGATTGTGTGCCTATTTAATGTTGTCCCTTTTTCTATCCAACTTTTTGAAGGAAGCAACTCCAATCCAGCAATAGCATTCAGATATTCAAAATGCTGTGGTATACAGTAGCACAAGGTTTTATTAAAAAAAATCTAGTTACTTTTTAGAAATTTAAAAATTAAAGAATAGATAATGTCACTATTACAAAAATCCTATAGGTTTTAATCAGAGAAATGATTTGGAAGTCCTGTTGAAGCTAGTCTTGCCCTTTAAAGATATAACTGTACCATTGTGAATAAATGTGCATATTGGAAGAAATGCACCTACTTGTCTCTTTCATAAAAATATATTAAAAGCCTAAATTCTTTTTTTCTGCCTTTGCTAGATTTCGAAAGTGTCCTGAAGCTGGAACCTGGAAATAAGCAAGCAATGAATGAAATAACAAAGCTTAAAAATGTACGTGTGCTTATGCTTATGTATTTTAATACCATCTTGCAACAGCAATTAATTGCTTTTAATCTGGATATTTTGTGGGTATTAACCTCTTTAGATTTCCATGGGTATTTATTTGAGTAATCTTTTCTTTAAGGAGTTAATCGCAAAAGGATTTTTGTCAGACACTGAATATTTTGGACTATCACAGAATGAATCAGAAATACAAAATCTGGTAAAACCCTTTGATAAGCCCTTACATCTGAGATCAGCTGTAAGTAGTACTGGTTTGTTTGCTTAAATATAAATATTTTAAATAGGACAAATATAGTTAAAAATGTGACATTAAAAGGTGGGAGGAGGTCTTAAGTATTAATGGTAAAAGGATGCAAGTTTTAATTTTTTTAAATTTTAGTGAGAACATTTTTTGGGATAGTGTTTCTGCAAGGATAAGCAATTTGGCTAATTGAAATTACTTGTTTCTGACTCCAATCCTGTCTCTCTTATTCATTTACCAGTAATCAAATACTTCTATATAATAATGAGGGAATTGTGGGTTTAGTAGATAACAACAGAATGCTTCTTGATAATAAAACTGAATAAATTATCCAGGATTCAATTTCACTTATCCAGTTCAAAGCATGTTATTGAATCTAACCCAGAATATATTTAGGTTAATTGCAAATCTTGGCCACCAATTAATCATGATTCTCTTGGGTTTGAGATGAGGGTGAGATCATTAAAATCCATAGGTGGGCAAAACATTTATTAGAACTAAACAAAGTTAGTCAAAAGAGCATGAACATTTTTGAATCACAGTATTAAGTCATAAAGTTCACAATAAAAATACCAATGTCAACTTCTTGGACTCAGTATATTGGGTATTGTTGGTAACAGATTACACTCAGTCATCAGGAACAAAGCAAATGGTTGGTAGCTGATTTTAAAACCATAGTTGCTAGTCTTCACATGTTGATAAGTCAGGAATTAATAAAGAATATTTGTCATGGTTGAAATGAGGGATCCTTGGCGCTCTGTGAGTTTGCTTGTGCACTTGCAGACATTTCATTACTCAAAATGAAACAGCTGCAAGAACACAACGAATCTCAGAGTGCACCAAAGACTCCTCAACTCAGGAATTGGCCAACACAAAAAAAGTGGAATTCTGGTTTATTCTCTCCTGCTGTTTTTTTTTATCTCATTCTCCTTTTGCACATTCAAATAATGATAAACTAGCATTTTAATCTTATATTCAGGTAACTGAAAAATCAGGTACAAAAGGTATAATTATTTAAAGGAGTAAAATTTCAGTTATTTTCTTCATTCTACCTTTGTAGAAAGGTAGATTGATAGATAGGATACAACATTTCCCTTGGATTATTTCTGTGGAAGAGATAGACAAAATACTCTTTGTTTTCATTAAGACAGATACAGTTATTCTTCAAAAATGTTGCTCATTATATGTAAAAGTGTGCTTCTATGTTAATTCATTGCTCGGTTGTTTTTGTTTATTTAGAAACCTTTAAGAAGAATAAACATTGAGGAAATTAGTAATGATGTGCTAAGTGCAAATTTGATGTCCACCAGAGAATCTGAGCCTATTCAATCTGTTTTTGATAACCCAAATAAAACACAGGAATTAATATCTATTAAGAATCAAAATGAAGATTTTTCTTCTCCATCTGAGACTCCCAAAGCAAAGCTGCTGAAAATAGAAGAAATTGGTGATGCTTTGTTGACCGGGTAGGCTTGTATTTTTTAGAACAGAAAATTATCAATTTTTGTGTTCAAAGGCTTTGTAAAATAAATATCCTATGCATGAATTTGTGCCAAAAGTATATTATGATTTTCTCACTACTTTTTGGAACCCTTTAAAATTATACATGAGTTTAAGAATCTAGTTCAACATTTCAACTGCTAATTTACATCTCTACAGTTTTAGTATTTGTTCAGCTTAATTACAGAAGAAAATTTGCATAAGTTGCTACACAAATGACAATTTGTTTTCATTCTTTCAGAGATTCTAATGCTACATTAGATTTTATACACCCCCACCCCATATATAGATATTATATATAAAATATTCAATTGGTAGTGAAATTCTATTCACAGAAAATGTCTCCAGGGTAAGTAATTGTATATATTTCCTAAGGCAAAATATTTATCCAAACAGAAATTCTCTGTCTTAATATTTTTAGATCTGTTACCACAAACACTGTGAAAGAAAAACCATCACTTCAGCCTTGTGCTATAAAAAAACAAGCTAAGAGAGAAAAATACATTATATCTTCTGTGTCTGAAGTTTCCGTGCCTCCAGTCCCTGTGAATTCTTTCCAACTTGAGTCAGATTTCCGAAAATTAAAAAATTACCCCAATCAATTGTATACATATTTGAAGGTAAGATAATTCATTCTTTCTATGGTTTGTGGTGACTAATTTCTCCCACATTTTTGGCTTTTAACAAATTTAATTTCGAGAATCAGTTTGATATGGTGGTTAAGGCATCAACTAGAAACTGGGAGACTGAGTCCTGCCTTAGGCACAAAGCCAGCTGGATGACCTTGGTCCAGTCACTCTCCCTCAGCCATAGGAAGTAAGGAATGGCAAATCACTTCTAAAATCTGGTCAAGAAAGCTGCAGAGACTTGTCAGAGCAGTTTCCAGAAATCAAGACTGACTTGAAGGGATTCAGAAAATGGTATAGCTTAATTGTGTAAGTATACTGGCATCTTTCTTTGAGATATAATTACATATTCTATTTTATTTATCTTATATTTTTGTATTTTTTTTATAAAAAGTTTTTTAGAGTTACATACATATCAACATGTGAACAATATGGCAACTGGGTGTCTTACATTTTGATACAATTAAAATAATACTCAATATATTTAACTTTAATAAACTTCTATACTTCTAATATTCCTACCTATGTTTGTTATTTCCAAAATTCTCATTCTTTGGTTTTCAATTGTTCAGTATCTAACTTGTATACCAATCCTTATATTCAGATATCTTCCTTTTACATCCAGTAGCATGTTAATAATCATGTTGGCTATTTTTTCCACAATCTTATTTCATTTTAACATTAATACACATCTTAATATTCCATTATAATCTTCTATTCATTTATGTATTCAATATTTCATTGTATTAGTTGTTTTATGCCAATCCTCATGTTATTCAAATATACTTAATATCACCCTCATTCAAATTCTAGTTTTCTTGACATCATCTTATTATTAAAGAAGTGTATTCCATTATTTCCTCCCTCTCCAATTCCATCCCAGTTCTAACTTTCAGTTATGCCACTACAATTTCCAAGAATATTCCCTAATAGTCTTTTTTAATATAACATTTCATTTATCAAATATATCCTTCCCTTTACCACAAATAAAACATCAATAATCATATTTAATACATTTAACAAGTCCTTGTAGTTCTAATAATACTCCTGTTAATATTAAATTCCAATCTTCCGTTATTTAATTAATATTTCAATACATTATTTTTATACTAATCACCACTTTAATGAAGCCTACTCAATTTAACTATCATTCAAATTCCATTTCATATATTCTATTGTCGTCCCCCCTCTCTAATTTCCAACCCTATTCTAAATTTAATTATATCTTTGTTATATTGGAGAAAGAAAAAAAAGAAAAGAAAATTTAAAAAGAATAAAAATGTTCTTTAACCATTATCTCTTATTTGCTTTAAAGTGTTAAACATTCTCTTTTTAGCTCGCCTCCCATATTCCTCTCTCAAATCTTTGTCCCTGTCTACTTCCAGATCGTAACCTATCATTTTAAATTTTTCTCCACCCTCTTCCATTGTCTAATTTTCAAAATGTCTGCTCTTGTTTTTGTTTCTCTCTCAGGGGAGTCATCTTGCAAATTTATTTCCTCTTTCCATTCCCTTAAGATACTCTCCTCTCTACTTATTACATCCATTATTATTATATTTATTTTCTCTTTTTTCTCATTGCCACAGTCTATTTGTTGGGTTTTTCTCTGTATTTTCTTCTGATCTTCTAATTAATTCCTCTTCTTCTTGTGCATCTTGTTCACTCCTTTCCAGTTTTTCTTCTATGCTCTGCATTTTGTTAAGAATTTTTTTTCAGCTGTCCTTAATATCCTTAGATATTGACACCATTTCTTCCCAGATCCCATTCTGTTCTTGCTGGTGAGACATCTCGTTTAATTTCTTTGAATGTTTTTTTTAAGGCCAATAATCCAAAAATCCAAAGGCAAGTTGAATATTCACGCCAAAATCACTTCTCACAAAGTTTAAAATTCTTGTATTTTATTTTCAATCCTTTTGTTGAAACTTTCAAAGTCATTTCAATAATATTTTCTGCTTCCTGGGAATATCTTGTATCTTCCTTCCTTACTTAGGTGGAGCATTTAATTCGCATTAGCATTTAATGTTATTTTAGCCAGTTTTCAATTTTAAAATATCAATCCAAAATAATAAAGTATCTGTTTTTTTAAGTATATAGTTCCAATATTTTAAGTATATAGTTCCAATATTTTAATATGCTTCCACAAAACAATATTTATCCTCTTTAAAATTCCAATTTTCTATGTTTTCTATATTCCAAAAATTGCCTTCTCCCTCTCCTTCCCACCCCCCAGCTTTAAATCTTTTCTCTTAATACTTGTACCGCTGCTTTTAATATGACAGTGAAATCCTTTTTTTCCCTGGCAAATCTTTTTGGGGTTAGATTTTAAATAGTTCTTCTCACCCAGTTCCGTATATTCTCCACTTTCTCCTCTCCTGCACAATGCTTTGGTATTCATGGCTGTCCCAACTGTGGTGGCCATTTTGACGAGCCCCTTCTCACCTACGTGGCATAGAGGAAAAAGCTCCAGGGTTAAATCAATTTAATTGACCTGCAAAGCTGCTGTGTGTTTACTTGGAACTGAAACTTGAAACATTTGTATTGGAATCAGAATAGAGCTGGAATGGACCTTGGAGGTCTTCTCGTCCACCCCCCCCCCTGCTCAAGCAGGAGGTCCTATACCATTTCAGACAAGTGACTGTCCAGTCTCTTTTTAAAAACCTCCAGTAATGAAGCACCCACAAACACCAGCCGGCGGGGATGAGTTACAGGCTGAGCTGGCGGGGAGAAGAGGCTGTGGGCCACTCGAAATTTGGAAACAGGCCACAATTGGCCCCCGGGCCAGACTTTGGACATGCCTGGTCTACAGTTTGCTGGGTCTATTTTTTTTTTCCTTTTTTGAAAATGGGTACCACATCAGCTCTTCTCCAATCCTCTGGTAGTCCCCTGGTGCTGCAAGATTTTTTAAAGATATGATACAGTGGTTCTGAGATAACATCTTCCAGCTCCTTCAGAACTCTGGGATGTAATCCATCAGGTCGCAGTGATTTATATTAGTTAAGATCAGATAGGTGCTCTCTAACAATTTTCTTGCTTATTTTAATTTTTATTTCTAGTCTGTCTTTTACAGTAGTATTTTTGGTAGGTTGGGCTATAATTTTTGTGTGGGTGAAGACTGATGCAAAGAATGAGTTAAGCAGCTCTGCTTTCTCTCTACTGCCTGTTACTTCCTTGCTGTTTTCTCTCTTTAGTGGACCTACTGTTTCCTTGACTTTTTTCTTGTTATTAATATGTTGAAACTTTTTTAAAATAAACTTTGACTTTTGTTGCAAGTCTTTGTTCATTCCTAGCTTTGCTTTCCTAATTTCATCTTTTCAACTTCAGACTATCTGCTGATATTCTGCCTTATTTCCTCTTCCATTTTTTGAACTTATCCTTTTTTGTCTTTCAGTTTATCAGAGAGATATTTGTGCAACAATGCTGCTGGTTTCTTCTTGGGTTTCTTGTTTTTCTTTTTCAGTGCTGGACTGGGCTTTAATGATCATATTTTTCAGTGTTTCTCATACTGCTTGAGTTGTTTTCCCCTTTAGGATTTTTATCCATGAAATTTTGCTTAAGTTCTCTTTGAGTTTGTTAAAATCAGCTCTTTTAAAGTTTAAGACACTGGTTAATCCAACATCCAATGTGTTTGCATTATATTGAATTCCAGCATGACATGATCACTCGCCCATTCCAGCAACTTCAACTGCCTCTATCACTTTTTGTCTATTAGTAAGAATTAGGTCCAGTATAGTTTTTCTTCTAGTTCCTTCCTTTACCTTTTGGATGACAAAATTGTCAGATAAGTTGGTTAGGAATCTGTTCGATCTCCCACTTTGTCTCCCGATTGATATCAGGGTAGTTAAAGTCTTCCATTACTACTGTGGTATGTTTCCTGCATACATTGGTTAATTGATAGCAAAGAGTTCATATATTTTTCTGATTGGCTGGGTGGCCTGTATTAAAACTACTGCAATGGATCTAAAATACAATTAAGTTTCACACATGTATACTCAAAGCAAGCTTCATTTGTTAATGAACTGAAGCTGAGGGGAAGCAAAAAATAAAGCTGAATATTTCTCCAACTAAACTTGGCTGTAATTGTTTATTTATGAATTTTAAACCCTGCCTCAATCCATTTGGACTCTAGGTTGTTACAATGTATAAAATAAATACAATAATAGCATTATAATAATATAAAAATTAGGGTAGGGTAGGGTAGGATAAGATGAACTTTGGGACTAAGTGTGAACCCTTCATGGTAGACCAGGTCAAGAAAAAGACATTGCAGAAATTATAGAAATACTATTTATTAGGGTTAGGATTGGCTACAATAAATTATGTTTGCATTTTTTAAAGTAAGCTTTATGTAAGAATATGAAATCTATTAATAGTAAATATGTGGTCTGGTTTATATATATTTCTATTATTAGTCTGATTTTCTTTTGTTCTTCCAAAGCAAATTGATCCTTCCCTTTATCCTAACCTCTTCCAAAAATCATTGGATCCAGAAGTTTTTTGCCAAATCTTGAAAATTTTGCAGGATTTTCATACTAAGTAAGTTTAAAATGATTTTCTCAGATTAATTTACTATTGTATTTTTGGTTGAATTGTGCCTTTAGCTGAATTATCAGTTTTAATATTTTCTGCTGCATATTTCTTGAGACAAATTTGTTCTTTCTGATACTAATAATATACTAATATTAGAATTCATACTATTGGATAAGAAGCAGGCACAATAAATCAGGGGTGTCAAACTCAAGGCCTGGGGGCCAGATCCAGCCCATGGAGCTGGCCTGGAAACAGCAAAGAACCAGCCCGCAGTGCCTCCACCAGCTAAAACAAACTAAAAACAAAACAAAAGGAGAAATGTTTCCCATGTAGGAAGGGACAGGAAAGGAGAAAGGGAAAGAAAAAGAAAGGAAGATGGGAAGAGACCAAGGAAGAAAAAATAAGGAAAGAGGGGAAGGAAGAATGAAGAGGGAAGAAAAAGAAAAGGAAGGAAAGAAATAGATTATAATGAGAGTGAGGGAGGGTTCCAGGGAAGTCCTGCCTTAGCATTTGGCCACCACAGATGCCCCACCGTGCCCACCCCCACCCCCGGACATGCCCAACCCCACCTAGCCCCCCAGCCCTACAAAGTCAGACACAACTGTGATGTGGCCCTCAATGAAATCAAGTTTGATACCCCTGCAATAAATTATTATGTAATTTAAGATGTTTTAAAACATCTTAAGGGGTAAGAACAGCAAAAGTAGTTCCCATGGTTGAAACACTTCAGTGTGACTTTTACCATTTTTTAATAGAAATTCAGAGCTGATCCATAAGTATAGTTGCCATGGCAATTTTTTCTTTATACATATCTGACAAGATTGCATCTCAGAAATACTCTGAGCTTCTGAATAAAGTGTTAAATTAAAAAATGAAAGCATTCCTTTTTTGCAGACTTATAACTAGGGAAGAAGAAGCAACTCATCTCAATATTTTTGTGCTATGTTTCAGAACATTCTGAATTTCTAGAAAGCACAAAATTCTACCCAAATATTGTTCTGGAAGGGATCAGTGACTACCTCTTGAAAGACGTTGTAAAGGTCTTCCATCAAGCTCTCTGGGCATATTGGAAAATTCAGCAGATAGAACCTATGGTCTTGATTAATAATAGTTTGCCAAGGCCAACTAGTAAATATTCTTTTTAATTCAAGATGCCAAAAAAATTAAACCAAGAAAATAATTCTTCTTAAACTTTTACCAGTATCTTTGGGAGAGGGGTAGTTACTTTTTAAGAGGAAGTATAATTTATTTAGTGTAGTTGCATACTTGTATACAGAAGAAGAAAAATTTACAGTGACCAAGGAAATAAAGATTAGACAACTTTTTAATATAAATTGAATGTTTCCATTATTGTGTATCTATAATATAGAACAGATTTTATTTGTTTGTTTATTAAATTTCTACACTTAAGTGATTCTGGGCAGTTTAGAACCAGATAGTTGCAGATACAACGGAATGCCATATTTGCAGTTTGAAGACATTCTCTTATTTAAACAATGGCAATTTTGGGAATCCATCAGCTAACAGAAAAGTACAGAAGAGTCATTTGGTTTTCAGGCAGTGACTTTATTTTCATTTTAGCAACAATTCTATATTTTATACTGTATATAGCTGCTTTTAGAGTATGCAGCTGTGTGAATTATTTTCAAATATGCATTTTTCATTTTAGTCAATGTTGTGCTATTTTTATGCCAAGAATAAAAATAATGATATGTATGAATTAATATCTTACCTTACAAGGAAAGAAGAGCCTTTACTTATCCTTGAAATTCTGCACAAATTATCAGAATCCAAAAGATTTGATATGGCAGTTATGCTTATGTCAGAGTCAGAGAAAAAAAGTAAGTAAAACACATTACTGGGTCACTATTAAAATGAACTGGCTTGATAGTTTAGAGATTAGTATAAATGTTGCAGCATGTCACTATTCCAGATATATTAAAAACATTTATTATAACATTTTTTCCACAGAAACCCTTCTGTCCCTGAAAATATTTAGGATTTGTTGGGTTTGTGAAATGCTTTCTAGCTTTCTAGTTCTTTGGATATCTTTTATTTCAGTTTATATTGGAAGATAATAAGGAAACAAAGAACCAAAAATGAAGAATGGCCAAGCCATCTTCTGCCTTTTTTTTGTACAATTACATCTGGATAGCAGTGGATTGTATTGTTCATAAAGTTAAGCTTAAGGAAATGTTACAGTTTATTCCAAGTTTAATATGACTCTTAGTTCAGTAGGGCCTTTTTAATATATAAATTGAATGATGATATAATTTACTAAATGCTAAATGTATTTTTAATTTGAACATAATGTAATACCAGATTTCTCTCTCTCATTATAGCTGTACGTTGTTTATTTGATCATTTGGAACAATCTCATTTGGAAGATTCTCCTATTAAGCAACTCAAGATAAAATACAGCATTTAATTTAAAGACTTTTTGAATCTCTGTATAAATACAGATTATATACTGCTTTGGAAGGACAGTTCCATATAGATTATTATGATAGAGAATTTCAAGTTCATTCTGCTTTTTTGTTATGAGTTGATCCACCATGTTTTGCCTGAATCTTATTTAATTTTTCATTTTGAATATTCTGTAGAAACAAGATTGACACTTTTACAATATCAAATTCCATTCTTTATTAGTTGTGTGTTAAAATTATATATTTTATTTGTATAAATAAATTCACAAATGTTAAATTATTTCAAATCTTTTTTTTATTTGCAATAATTCCAATATTTCTTGAAAAGAATTTCAAGCTTAAACAAGTGAAAAATCATTTTTAAAAAACCCTGTATCTAATGCTTTCCTTATTTTTATTATTTAGTCTTGGTATCTTTTAAGAACATTTGTTTGCCGTTAAAATTTCACTAATTACAATTTTGACTATGTCAGCTTCTTTTGAGACAGAACCACTATCTATACTTGATTGTATGTGATATATAATCCTTAAACAAGGAATAAGATTTTACTTCTGAGTACCATGGTAGGATGAGCTATAGTAGAGGGAATTGCTTTTTAAACTATATAGCCAAATGTGATGTTTATATAGTAAACCAACCTATGGATAATCCTTTCAGGTATATTTACTTATTTTATTATTTCTTTATCCCACTTTTGTATACCTCAGGGTATCAAATATACCTAATATTCCTTCTTCCTCCTTCACAACAATAACAACTCTATTCGTACATAATAATGAGCCTTTCTCCACAACAACAACCCTGGGGAGTAAGCTGGCATGAAAGAAAGTGACTGACCCAAAGTCACCCAGCTATTTTTCATGCCTAAGGCATGATTAAAACTCACAATCTCCCTGTCAGACCTGCCCCAGTCTGATCCCTTAGGAAAGAAAGACTCCATTTGGTTGAAGCAAAATATTCTTTTACTACAAGATGTTGGCTGCAGTAAAGTCAGGCTAGATATGGGTTTCCCATGCTCAAAAGATAAGAAAGGTTCCCCCTCATCCTAGTCCTCCCCTTGTGACCAGTCCATCTTCAGCCAATTGAAACTTGCTGAAGAGTTTTGAGAACGCTGTTTTGGGGTAATCCACATTTTTTCTCAGGGTGCGTGGCCTTGTATACAAACTGGTTTTGTGCATGTCTGGTCTTTATTACCTGTCATTCCTCCCTCCCTATTTCCTTTCACACAGCTTTATTGCCCGTCTATCCTCCCTCACCACTTCTACTCTTTGATGGCAGGACCTGTGAGATGCCAAGCTGAATCTGGCAAACCTGACATTCTGCCCCCCTTGGCAGAAACATTGGTCCTGTAAAAAAAGGGGAAGGGAAAGAAAGAAATTATCTAATTATCAATTCAATGAGGTTTATCTGGGTACTATTCGTGGAATTTTTTTAAGCAATCTGTAGACTTTAATATATTTAATAATATCAACCCATTCAGTCTCCAAAGGAGGGAAGGCTTTCCATGCTACCAAGTACTGGATTTCCCCCCAGTGCATATGTCCAAAATGTATTTGACTTCAAAGTGTTGCTCTCCTCAATTATAATGGGGACAGGAGTTGGTTGTGACTCAGGACCTAGGGAAGACATGATCTCTGGCTTCAGTAGGCTGAAATGAAATACTGGGTGTATGCGTCTGACCATTTTTGGCAAAGTTCTACAATCACTGGATTAATTGACTCAAGTTCTGTGGTCATTGGGCTAATAATCCATTTTATGGGGAAAGGTCCAATTTTTTGGACAGTTGTCTAGATTATAAGAATTTGATAGGATGGATAGATAGATAGATAGATAGATAGATAGATAGATAGATAGATAGATTTCAAAGATAGATAATAGAAAAGTCCTGGAAGGACCTAGGCCAAGTCACTCGACTAAAAATAAACAGCAGCTAATGCTCTCCACTGAAACCACATTATTTCTCAAGTGTTCCTTAAAAAGGATGCATCTATGGAAGTTCTCTTCAAGTAAATGCATACTAGCACATCCTTAAAGAGATCAGGATCAATCCCTTTCCTCTCGCCAAACACTACTTCCACAAGAAAGCTTTCACGACTTCCCAGCTGCTGTTTGTAGGATTACTGGTTATGATTATTAATAAAATCTGTGTATATCCATTCCTGATGTATTCATGTTCCTTGTAGGAATGACTCGAGTGCACAAAATCTATTTTTTTAAATTACAGGAATTTTGTTCTCAGGTGGGGGAGGCAGAATAATATTTAATTAAATAGCTTAGGAAGCTCAGAATTCCCTGAATCAATTATTTTAGATAACTAAAATGATGGCAGATTGTCTACATATTCTGATGTTACTCAGTGTTACTTTACAGAATGTTGCTGCTGCTACCTGTAACAAGAAAAAATAACACTGAAATTTGTATAGAGATGAGATAATTATTCCATGCTTGATACAATCTCCAATTCTTTTCCAGTAAGTTTGGTAAAGCTGTTACTATCCTATTGTCACTTTAGGTTTTGCTATTAAAATAAATGATCAAGTGGCTAGACTAACAACAACAACAACAACATAATAATAATAATAATAATAATAATAATAATAATAATAATAATAATAATAATAATAATAATACTTTATTGTCATTGTACATATATATTACACAGTATACACATACAACGAAATTCACATAACACCCAGAGACCAGACCCAACACGCACACACACATGACAATCTCCCAAACTATCATAAACTATTTAAAAATGTCTATAGTGATCTTCCTTTTCCTGGAATATATAGGGACTAGCTGGATACCTGTGCTTTGCGACAACACTATGTAATTGGACTATGCAGGAGAAATCCAGTTTACAATCTGTTGGCTCAGTGGTGGTTGGTGATTGAAGCACATAAGGGAATATCGTTCCTGCTGCCTTGAGTCCGGAAGCAGTTCCATCGGTGGAACATTTTGGTGTGGTACCGACGTAGTACTGTAAAGAGCCCCAAACCACTCCTGAGTGAAGGAGTGGAACGTCTGCCAGTTTGAACTGAGGTAACGGAATGTGAGACAACTGGTAGTTGGAACAGAGTTGTTTTTTTTCAGATGGGGAGGGGGAATAGAACTCCTTAGCATCAGAGCATGTTAATCACTGTATTAAGAAATAGTAATGATCTGATGGTCATTTCAAAAAATCATTTCTTAATGAGCACCTAGAAGCCAAGAGGAACATACGTGCCAAATTTCAAGTTTGTAGGCTTTACGGTTCTGGAAATTTTGTGATGAGTGAGTGGTACTTGGCTTTTATATATATACATTACTATACTAAGCCTTCAAAGTTATTTACAATTTTAACACCATTCAAAATGTAAGACAAGCATAAATGTACACTGCAACAAAACCATGAAGTCATAAAAATCATCACCCGTTCTTGCAGTAACATGCTTAATGGGAGCAATCAGAAACAAATGATAGCAAATGTAGTTTTAATAGAACACAGAAATTGCTATTTATTCCTTGAGACTATTCCACCTCAGAGAATAATAAGAAAGATAACGCCTTACATTAATAGCCATGCCAACTCTGAGAAAGAAGTTGTGTCTTTGGTATAACCTTAAACCTGAACAATGCAGGCCACCGGCCATTAAAGCTTCATTCATTAAAAAATATGGAAGTGTTTTCCCTAATAAATCTAAAATATATGCTATATTTCTGAAAATATATTTTATGAATATGTACAATAATATCACATATAGAACAAAATACCCCAGGCAAAGCAATTTTTTCAAAACATTATACTTAAAACATTTACCTAAAACATTTAAAAAGATTTAGTTTTCATCTATGGGTCAGAATATCTATACATTCTATACAATTCTGTGAGAAAATCATCTGGGCCTAGTATTTTGGCATTCCTCAAAAAATTATTTGTTCAATTAAATCCATCTAGATCTGGGATGTCAAACTCATGGGCCACGGCCGGATGCATCATGCGCTGGCCATACCCATCCCATTTTAGCAAAGAGGAGAAAGTTGTGACACATCACGTGACAATGTGTCGTCGCGAGTTTGACACCCCTAATCTAGATCAACTCAGAAAACAACTTTAATCAGGAAAAAAGTATTTGATAAAAATTTAATTTTCCATCAAATCCTTATTTTATTAAGGATTTTTAAAGTTATCTTGTGTTTCCAAATTGATATTATTGTGGTTCACTGGACTAAATTTCTGAATGTATTGCTTCTTGAATTGATGTATCAATATACCTGTTGTTTTTTTCTCCTGATTCCCAAAATTTGTTGTAAAACATGTTAACGAAAAATCTGTCTTAATAAAAAGAAAATGATAAATTTTTCTACATGACAGTTTGCATTTCATTATCTAGAGAAGGATAACACTGGATTAATACAAATTGAGACAATAGAAACTTAAATATAACTTCTAAATTTATCTTCTAAGAATGCCTTTTTTTCCTTTTTGTGAGATATAGGCAAGGAATATATGCCTATATGCCTTACCTTTAGTTATGATAAAGAATTATGAATGTTCCTTCAGATTAAAACAGGTTTGAAACCTATTTGCTTTTTGAAATTAATCTAACCAATTAACTGCCATTTAATTTTAATTGATAAATTTAATTTAATTATCTAATTTATTCTAATTAATTAATTAACTGCCATTTTAATTTTAGTTAATAATTGCCAATTTAATTTTAAGTAAATTGGCAACTATTAGCTCAAAAGGAACAATATCTGAGATGTATATTTCTGTGACATTTTAATATGAAGAATTAAAAGATATTCAGATGAGATAAACTTTTACATAAATAAAAAAGATATAAAATCGAACATACTGGATAAATTGCATAATGTGAGAGATAGTGTCTACAGATAGATGGTATGATAGTCCACAGTGAAGTGACAGTTTTCCAGGAAGAAGTGAGCACATTCTAAGAAGTGGGGGTGGGGATGGGGAGTAGAAGATGAGTTGGATAGGAGATAAGAGGACAAGGGTCTTCAAACTTGGCAAGTTTAAGACTTGTGGACTTCAACTCCCAGAATTCCTGAGCTAACATGACTGGAGGAGGAATTCTGGGAGTTGAAGTCCACAAGTCTTAAAGCTGTCAAGTTTGAAGACCCCTGGTTTAGGATAACAATCCCTAGAATCTCCCAGGGTATATCCGTTGGAGTGAGAATAGTAAAGATTTAATCTGGCAAGATACTATTAGTATGAGCAAATAAATAAATAAAGAACTGAACTTTGGCTGGACTATACAAATAAGCCTTAAGTGCTAATCAAATTGAAGATATAACTTCTTAAGTGAAAACCCAGGATGAAAAAAGTCCTTTAGATCAAAAGCAATGACTTTTTAAAATTTCAATGAGCATTCCTTCCTTCCTTCCTACTACAATACTCAGGAAATTAAGCAATTTGTAACAACATACAATTATACCATG